TAGCACGTGTACGTGTGCATATAATATACCTGTGCACTGGTATACACGTTGAATAGTATAATGTCGCGCACGCGGTCTCGTTCATCAAGGCATACAAATGCAAATAAAAAAAAAGGGTAAAAATAAGACTGCAGTGACGCGGCGTGTCACCCGATCAGTCATATCTTTTTTCAAAGGGAATATATTATTCAGGTATAAGACGTACACGCCGGACTCTCAAAGGAGCCGCGGATCACGCGTATTATATGGGCTGGCAATATCGCAAGCGACGGATACGAGACGAGAGCGGATAACGAAAGAGTTGCTCTCCCCGAGCAGAGCTCCGAAAGAACAGAGATAACAAGCCCGACGAGCGAGCGGACGCGAGAGCAAAATCAAAAAAGCAAAAAATAAGGAAAAAAAAAGGAGCCGGCCTCGGCCACGCGTTTACAAGCTGCTTGCGGATCGCGATTTATAAAATGAATACGAAATGCGTGTATATGCGAAAAGAAATAATATAAGAAAAAAGAAATAACTAGCTGCGGCAGAGATCTTGGCGCATTTTTTTCTACGAAAAGTATATATGTGTATATCGAGAGCCGCACGAAAGAGAGCTGCGCGGAGGAAGAAGAGAGAAACGATATTCCGTGTCTTTCGATGGTACGAGCGAGATATTGCGCGGTCTCTCTCGTCAATGCCGCATCACGAGATCGTTGCTCTTCGAGACGCCGAGCTTGCGCATATTGAATATTCATAAATATAAATTAGGAACATAAGGCAAATGCGAAACAGCAGCTAGTGTATATTGCGATGCACACATGTACATAATAACCGACACCGACGCATTTCGCGTTTGTGTCCGATGCACGCAGAGATGCGGAGGCGCTTTTGACTGGAGGCCTCACGCGCGCTTGACCGTGTAACACATGCGGCGTAGACAGCAGCAGCAGCAGCAGGACTATAGTTCATTTTTGCAGAAATGCGCGTGTACGTTTATATAAACACAGTTTTGACGGCTTCGGACATAATACCTTGACGAAGATAGTAACGCTCGTAAATAGATTAAAATAGATTATTGTGCTGCGATACGTTTAGATTATCAGTCCGAGCTTCAGTTATGGTTCGAGTATGTAATTTGAGTTTTGGACGGTAACCAAGCATTTTTATATACTTTTTGGTACGTTGAATCTATTTTTCTTGGGTATCAAACGGTAAAATGGTTCTTGAGAAAGCCATTCGTCGTTCTACGATCCTTAGTTCGAGACACTATTTAAGCGTGTATACGGCAATATGCCCTCAGCCATGATGAGTATTGCTATGTAGATTCATATCAACAATTTTAAGTTATTCATAACATAAAGATGTATTGAACAAATGTTATGTGATCGTTTTTGTAAAAATTGTACGTATTACTAACATGGAAAAAAGTTGCTTTTTTTATCTAGCACGAATGTGACTTTGGTACAAGAGAGCCACGTAGTGGTAATTATTATGAATCGACATATATTTTCCTTTGAAGGTTTGACTCATAAATACAATCAACTGATTTGTTTGATAACAATATCCAATTTTTACAACTAGCTTCAATGTCGTTTGAAAATTACAAACTTATGTTAAAGGAAAAATACGTTCTTTGAATATTTGGAATATTCCTTAGAATTTCTTAGAAATTACTTGGGATTTTCAGACATGATATTGAAGATGCTCCTTTTCTGAAGATCGGATATTGTTTTCAAACAAACCATATGATCGAATCTATGAGTCAAACATTCGAGTGAAAATATTTTGATTCGTAATAACGTCCACTACGAGGCTCTATTGCATCAAAACCACGTTCGCGAAAGAGAAAAATACTTCCTTCTCTAATATTTACAATCCTGTTTACTTTTCCTTAAATTTGTAGGTTTCATATTTTTATAACTAAATTATTTTACATTTCTAGATGTATACTTATCATTAATTTAAATCCACTTTGTATTTGAAAAGATCACTCATAATGAATAAAACACTAAAAAGATCCGGAAATATTGTATGACTAAATTTAAAGCTTTTTTAAACTGAAGTTTGAAATCTGCTTGAAATAAACAATATTTTCATGTAAAATACAATTTAGCGCAGACAACGTTTTGATGTTTTATGAATATCAAAATTGAAAAACTCGAGGCATTTATAAAACCACGTGTATGCATTATATGCGCTTATGCACATTTGCACACCAATAGTAAAAAAAGCGAAACCCGACGAGTCTCTCCCTCTATCTCGTCAAAAACGCGTTTCATCGGTTACCTCAAACGAATCCACTGCATCCGCGCTGTAGAAAAATTAAAATTTCAAAAAAAGCGTTTTAAAATCTCGATCCACGCGCGCACACCAGTGTATACACATGATACATCAAATGCATTTGATGAGCTTTGCGTCGAAATAAAAAAAAAATAAAAATAAAAATTCGATGGTCAAGTTAGGAGCGATATATCCGTGAGCGCGTGGATGGATTTCCGCTACGTGGAAATAGCGGAGCTTATAATTTTCCGGTCGATTTCGTAAAAAACATTCGAATGCGTTATATGGTCAGCAGAGTCAGAGAGTATAACGCGCGTATCATCATCGGCTTGCGTAAAGTTACAAATTCGGCTTTGTAATTTTTGAAGCGCGCAGCAGCAGCAGCGGCGGCAAAATCCCGTGATTGTACGCAGAGAACACAACAGGTATACACACAAACGAGAGGCTCGGTAATGCGTGTTACATACGCAATTGCAGAGTAGCATTATTACATTATTACACGTATACACACGTGCGCTCGAGAATCGTCAATCTCCGAGCTCTATATATGCATATAAATACGAGAAAGGAAGAAAGGGAAGCGAGCAACAGCAGCAGCAGCAACGGTGGCGGCAGCTGCTGCCTGCACTGCCTCGCGCGCGAGCGAATAATTACGTCGTGTTAAAAGCAGTAGCGGTAGTAGCAGCCCACGGGGGTTGCACCATTGCGCTTCGCATTGCATCCTCTCGACTATATGAGCATTTCGCGACGGAAAATTGAGTAAGATGGTACAGAGCGAGGCAAAAGGGGGCACAAAGCCAACGCGCCGCGTTTGCCTCTCTCTCTAGCTAGCTCGCTCGCGGCCTCGAGCCTCCGCGCGCGCAACCACTTTCAGCTGTACACCTACTACTACTAATACTACTACTACTCTGAAAGTATACAGCCTTATATATACCTATACATGCATTGCCGCTGCTCTCGGCTCGAATATTATATGTATATCTACGCTGCACACAAACGAAGAAGGTGCGCGTGCGAGCACCAACCGCCGCCGTCACTGCTGATGCTCGAGCGACAAAAGTGGCAGATTAATTAAATTCGTTAATTGCAAGATGCATTTAAAACAGTGCACAGTAGTGGTAGTACAAAGCTCCTTTTGCGCGTTAGTGCAAGCGCCCGCCCGGCGCCCGAGCTCTCTTTTCTCTGTGATATATATTTTGTGCTCGTATAATATAACGCGTGTATAATACGAGTCGCACCTTTGCAGCCTCGTACAACTTTTAAGGGATGTGAATCGTATAGAGTGAGGCCGTAGCTGTGCGGGCGGCGCACGCTATTCTGCTCTGAATGCAGTCAAACCGTCGTTTGTTTTATTTTCATTTCTTTTTTCTCTCGGAAAATCACCTTTGAAAGTGGCGACTTTTTACATCTCATTAACAAGTACACGGCGGTGGCAATTATAATATTATTACACGAGCACAGACCATAAAAATTTTTTCCAATTATTACACGCAGATATCACGGTGAATACGCGTTGTTTTCTCCTCCGCGCGCGCGAAGGATGGTTAAAGCAATCGCGAATCGCGATGTAATTGATTTCGAGCTTTCCCCGCGTTACCGTGCGCATATAGTAACGTTACGCTGCGTCATGTTGATATTTTCATGAAAAAGAATCGACTGCAAACAGATCGCGGCAGTGGCAGCAGCCACCGACTGATGGACTAAATAATGAAATGTCGGTAATGACTAGCTGAGTATATACCGTGCGTACATACATACTCGCGAGCGCATTTGCAGAATGAAATTATGGTTTGCTTAAGCTCAGCCCACCATCAGCACGCGTTTCGTTTTTGTTCGTGCGCCGATTCGATGAGTATCGCTGCTGCCGCTGCTGCTGCTGCAACTCGACATCCACGCGTATTTATCTCGCCGCGCGCGCGCATTATGCACAAAAACCCATCGATGATTTATACACATGTATGCAACCATATATATATTATGCGTTATATTACGTTGCGTTCCCTCCCGCCCTCACTTCTCCGCGCATACGTCTACGGCGTAGCCATTGACGCGTGCGCGCGAATACATGCGTACACGTATATAGATATATGTAATATCCACACGCGAGCGGGCTTTCACACATATTTGTATAGAGCAAGATTAATTAATCAAATTTCTGTAAAGGTATTTATATTTTCACGTTTTTGGCTACCACCAACGCGGTAGGCTGAAATTATTATGCGTTACACGCTTACGGCAACAGCAGGTATTATAAACATATAAAGAACACAACTTCAAATCGTGTATTACGCGGGGGCTTGAATAGTTAACGTATATAATTCGTAATTCCGTGATTATTGGCCCGGATAAATGATTTTTAAATGAATCTTTTCTTTCTCATTCGTTTCATATATTATAACACAACTTTCAAGACTTTTTCAAAGATAATTCATTATACGTAACGAGTTATCGAATATTGATGTAAAAAGAAAATAAACCTGAAATTAACGAACTCAGAGAATCAATTTGTTACCACATTCAAATGTAAACACATTTTTGTTCTCTGTCATTCATGTTTACGTATTCATGTAGTTGTATTTAATCAAAGTAATAAGTATTACTGTGCTCATGAAGATGATACTTGAAAATTTAAACTGTAAACGCGGTTCTGTTTCATAAAATAACGAAAATAACGAAATATTGCAATTTTTAAAATAATTATGTGTATTGCCATATTCTTGAAGGTATGGTTGCATTTTCAGAAGAGGACCTGATCCACGGCGGACTCGGGGGTAGTGCAATGGTCAACCAGAACTCCATATTCGGCTGCTCGAGCGCCGGTCACAGCGGCGTAAATCAACTGGGTGGCGTCTACGTGAACGGAAGGCCGCTGCCCGACTCCACCAGGCAAAAGATCGTCGAATTGGCCCACAGCGGCGCCAGACCCTGTGATATATCCCGAATACTTCAAGTCAGTAATGGATGTGTCTCCAAAATTTTAGGAAGGTTCGTGCGCACACATTTTTCAGCTACTTTTCCATAGCGCAGAGTAGTAGCGGCGTCGCAGAGGCGCCATTCGATTTTCCTTTCTTTCTTTTTTTATTTTCATTGTTCTGGCATTTTGGTTTTATCGAGATATAGGGGGGAGAGAACAACGAGTGCTAAAAATGAGTGAAAAAATTGATCGCCTCTTTTTTTTTATTACAGATATTACGAAACAGGCTCGATAAAGCCACGAGCAATTGGTGGAAGTAAGCCGCGAGTCGCCACGACCCCAGTTGTGAACAAAATATCGGATTACAAACGCGAGTGCCCTTCAATTTTCGCATGGGAAATTCGCGATCGGTTGCTACAAGAAGGCGTGTGCAACAACGACAACATACCCAGCGTAAGTAAACAATCATTTTTCATTATTAATTATGTTACAATTATCCTCCATTAAAAAAGTGATAAGCGCGTGAAAGATTTGTAAGCGTTCTAATTGTTCAAAAACATGTTAGAATTAAGAGGTCGTAGAGTGAGTAAAATCATTTAAACACGGATGAGCAAAGTATTCATATAATGTAACTTTTGATTTGGTAAAAGTAATTCGCTCGCGTGTGACTCGAGTTAAGAATCTTGTCCCGGAAAGTGTCGGAACTCCGCAGGCAAAAGCCTCTCTCGCATCGCAGCGTACGCTCAATGCTCAGCTCCCATACGGATAGAGAGAAGTAGAAATTCCGTCGGGCATCTCTATATAGAGCGCAGGACACGCCGGTGCGCCTTTTCTCAATATAATGCCCATGTACGACACGACAAAGTGAATGGAAGCACACAGCTCGCTTATCTATTCGAGGCCAGGCTGCCAGGCTTGCCGCTCGCCCCCCACCGTCTAATCAAAGACTCGTTAATGCGATCGGGGGTGGACTAATCGCTCTATTACTCGGTCCTCGATATTGTGTGTACCGAAAGCAGCTTCGGCAACCCCCTCGGTCGGTCGCATACGCAGCGAGAGAGCAGCCAGCAGCTAGCCGCGTCCAGCCGTATCCTGCCGCTGCGCGACATTGTCGAGTCTTCTGGCGTACGGTGCGTGCGAGTCTTCTTCCTTTTCTTTTTTTATTGTATTGCTATAGGCATGGGTCATCTCCGCACGACACAACGGCATTGGCCTCTTCGCTCGACGGCTCTCCCTCTTCAAAGGGAGAGATGACCAGGCCGGAACTGGAAATGCCCGCGTACACTTTATATACACAAAATTACTTGCGGCCCCGAGTTAGGACTTGTTGGATGTTTTGTCATGGACCATTATGCGTGTACTGTACCTTCGACGCGGCGACAATGACGCGGTGTTTTGTAAAATGATTGTTCACTGCGTGTCGCGGGAGGCAGAAAAAGATCCTGAAACGATGCCGAAAAAAAAAACAATAAAAGCAGCGACGAGAACAGCTGTAAACCCTTAAAGAATTTCGATTCACGCTGTGCACTGCGCGAAAAGCAGCAGCCAGACGGGCGTCGCGTAGCGATCTCGCGCCTTTTCATCTTGACATTCCAGAGGCGCGCACTACTGCATTCTCCGCTGCCGTCGTTCAGAGAGAGAGAGAGAGAATCTGTTGCGCGGGGGGTTTCTCGCACATACACCATATGATACAGGGTGTAGTAGATACATATACGTTTTCGACTCTGTCCGTGTGCGAGTAAAACTGCGAAAGTCGCGCTTATACTACTGTAGTCGCGTGTCTTTTCTCGCTCTCGCCCCCTCTCTCTTTCTCTCTGAGCACATCGCCCTCGCCTCGCCGAGCGATCTTGCATATCAGGCACGCGCCGCACACGACTGATCGCCTCGCACATATGCAATCGTCGTCACTGCTACATACTATACACGAATGTGCATGTGATATCGGGGCGACCCTCGTGTCGGTGGGAGCTCGCACATATATACGGCTCCGGAAAGGAGTCCTTTGGCCTTTTAGCCTTATTATTGCGCGTGAGACACGCGTTGCTGCTCCGTACTGTATACTGCTGCTGCTATTGCTGTGGCCGAGAGCGGGCGCACAGGCAATTTCGAGCCGGTAAGGCCTGTGTCTGGCTTCTGGATCAATCAGTCTCGGCTATTGAGACGCGAGCGCCTGGAAAATCGCACGCCTGGGTATTATGCCTCGTCTGTACGCAAGCATACGGCTAATCATCCTTATCCCTCAAAAATCTGTTCTGCTTTGTTGCTGATGCTGCTGTTGCTGCTCCTACTATACTATTCGTACATATTTTCCTGCCTCGTTCTGCGCTGCTGCTGCTATGTACGCATCGCTTCATTTTTACTTTCTTTTCCATTCGCAGCATCATCTATACTTGATCGATTTCATCTAATTGCTCTCCATATGATCTTTGAAGAGCGAGCTGTAACAGTGTGTCGAGTGCACGAGTCATTTAATAATGAAGAGAATCATCGGTTTCCTGTGACATTCATGGCCGAACGAAACTTGAACATGGAAAAGTCGACGATCATTTTTTCTTTTTTTTGCTAGGGGTACAAAATTTCAGGGTAGACAATAGTTCAACGTTATATTTATAAAATATAATGTGACGATAGCGCGACGCGTATATTTGGGATGAAACAGCATCGTACGCGTCAGTGGTCGATAATTTTTTCACGCAAAACCACATCGATGCAGCAGCGGAGGGCACAATATGTAGGCAAAAGAGGTGGTGGTGGTGGTGATGGTGGCGGCGACGTGTCAAAAATTCTCTCTCGTGTGCCTGACTCTGCGCCCAGCTCTAGCCGCGCGCTCTGTGCATGCATTCGACAGTGAGTATAATGCTCGGCCCTGACGCGTCGACGTTAACGCAGCTAGCAGCGGCGGCAGCGAGTTTGAAACCCCCGTGTGCATGCCCAAAGCACACGCAGCATCGCGCGAGGGTTACAGCCTACATTACACACACATATATGTGGAGCGATCGGCAAAGAGAGTCCGATGGTGTATACATACTGCCCGCCTGTATACACATGGTAGGCACCCACACACCCACATGCATACACGCACAAACGCGCGCGAGCAAGGAGAACAGTAGGTGTGGGCTAAAGCTGGGCTCTAGCTAGAGGCTGCTGTTGCTGCTGCTGCTGCTGCACTGTCCGAAGTTACACACTCATATATATATCGTACGCGTAAATGTGTGTGTGCATGTGTACACCGAGCCGGCAGAATATCGCTCTGAATGGGATCAGTTAAGCGTGTTGCGCAATTATTCGTGTCCGGCCGCGCGTGTAATAGCCTGCATCGACTGCTGCCCAGCACACACACGCACACATACACGCAAGCACATACGCAGTATAACGGCTATGGGTTCGTAAACGTGTATTGGTGTGTGTGTATACGCAACAGCCGAGCACCAGAGCTTCACTCTCGACGAAGCCGAGCGCGCGCGTGTATGCTGTACTTTGGTCGCCTAGTTTGAGCTGTTCGAGGGGATTTCGCCAGCTAGCATGCGCTGCATTTTCGCCTATTTCGTCTCTCTCTATATACTATATCTCTCTCCTGCTGCACTGGGCTTGCTGGGCATTTTTTCTCGCTTTTTTCGACTATTTTCCAAACTGCGCCTACTACTACTACTACTACTACACTGGCGCTGCGGTATACGGACGCGGCGAGCTTTGCCTCGTCCGCGTGCACTGCGGTGTGCTTGGCTGTGGTACTACTACTATACTACCGCCACTACTGCAACCGTTACGATGCTCTTGCTCTCTCTCTGTGCACTGCTGCTATGCATGCGTCGTTGCTGCTGCTTTTCCGAGTGCGGTCAACAGCCAAAGAGAAATAGACGTACAGCGGCAGCAGCAACGGCCACTGCACTATATACAAACCCACCCGATGTAGCCTATAATGCCTCGACGATTTTCGGACTGATGATCTTTTCGGACGGTCAGTTTTACGCGTGCCCGATTCTTTCTCGCCGTCCTCGAAACTTTCGAGCTCGCTTGATCGCTGGTTCGTATCCTACATACAACACACGTTTCTCCCCCGTATATCTCCCTCTCTTTTCTCTCTTTTCTGCCTCTTCTCGTTCAAGTGACCCGAACGACCGTTTCGGATTTCGTCGCTCTACTATTTTCGTGCGTCTACCTGCTTATTATATCCTTTTTTTGCACGTGCGAAACACTCGAAAATCGATAAAAGGAATTGAAAGTTTAGATGAAGATACTCCATCATTAGACGAAATAAATTAACTTAATTACAAAGCACCTAGATTTGGATGTGTGATTCCATTTGCACTTTATTGTTTGTTTGATTAAAGCGAATCGTGTACTTCAGCGAATGAACTTTGTCTAATTGAAATGTTGTCGAAAGTACCGAAAGCTTTCGAGTGTATTCAAACTGCAGTAATGATACCTATTTTGTAAATTTTCGTTAGAATTAATGTTTAGAAGATCAAAAACCGGGTATTTGCACAAATCATTTTTTACCCATTATTTTCACTGTTAAATTTGTAAAAAAAATTAGTTTACTTCACGTTTAACATCAAATTAATCCACGATGAAAAGAGTGAATAGCAAGCGCAACATTCGCGCCAAAAGCAAATCCCGCGAAACACGTGCTTTCACTGCAACCGCGAAGAAAAGTTTTTGTGATTTTTTTATCCAAACTACGTCATACCTAAATCCACGGGTTTTCTCGAGTACTCGTCCTTACATTGTTGTGCTGCATGTGTATCGAGTGAGGTCTAGCTTACAAATACCTCACCACAATTGCTCTTACTATTGCATGCCTTTGATTGGATTATTGCCAGAAAAGAGAACTCTCGAGTCCACCATATTTCAGCTTTTTCGTCGGGAAGTCTTATTTTCCAGCGAGCTTCATATATAATATCGTTAAAATGTTTATTCAAGCAAGTCTTTGAATTTATTAATTTATGCGTCTTTGATGTTTTTGACTACTTTTGAAATGCCCTAACAATGGCCAGCACGTTTTGGGAGTTGTCGAAATCGTGAATAGAAGGTAAGAAAATATCGGATAATTATATGCGGTCAATCCAGCGGAGCGTGAAAAACTGTCAATGTTCAAAAGCTATAATGTATACCGCGCGTGCTGCTGCTGCTGTATAAAAGGAGCTGCCTCGTTGCGGCGGATAGCTGCTGGTCGTGTACATATATAAAATGTAGAATTAAATTTTCATACATGCTCATTCGTGTTCGATGATATACACCGTGGGTTTCATTGTGGGCTGATTGAAACCCGGGGATGATCAGTGAAGTGCAAAACGCAGAGCACGCGCAGACAAAAGACTTGGGCGTCGGGCAGATTTTTAATTAGAAAATAACAAAGCCGATTTGGTGCGTATCCGAACAACTGTCGTTGTATTAGAGCTGTATAAGCTGTGTACCGCTAGTCGCACACCCCCTGATACATAAACCACCCAATCCTGCGGATTCGAAAGGCGATCAGCCTTGATTTCCAAGACATGCGTAAATTTTTTGTTGTTTTTTTGTGTTTCCTCGACTCGTAGGTGTCGTCGATCAACAGGGTACTGCGAAATCTGGCCTCGCAAAAGGAGCAGCAGGCCGTGTCGGTGCAGGCGCATCAGGGCGCCGAGAGCGTCTACGACAAGCTGCGAATGTTCAACGGACAGACGGCGGGCTGGCCGCACGCTTGGTACTCGGCGACCCCCTCGCATCACTCCTTGACCAGCGGCATACCAGGCGCTGGAACGCCCACCGCTGGTCAGACCTTACTCAGTCCCGTTGGTCAACCTCATGGCCGCGACGACGCCCTCCTCAAACGCACAGGTCAGTTAAGGATCTATGTTACATATACATTTTTGTTTTACAACTTTTGCAACTAAATTTTTGTACTGAATAGATACAAGTTATTGATGCACAAAGTCAGAAGTAGCTTTTCATGGTATAGCGTATAGCTAAGAAATCAAATACGATTCTATGCCGCCAAAAATTTTTCAAAACAAATAATTTCTTATACAAATACTTATACAAATAATTTTATTTTGCTACTTGCGGGTTTATAAATAGTGGTACTCGCCATCTAGCGGTAAAGATTTGAATTAAATTACGATATTTATAGTGGTAAAAATGGTCTAAATGCTTGAAACGTATAAGTTGTCACTTTCAGGGCATTTAAAATGTGCCTTATATCGTTAACATAAAGTTAACAGAAAAACAGTCCGAAACGTTAATGTCCATTCATTAGGCCATTAAAAATAATGAATATTTACATACATTTTCAAAGCTTTTCTTCAAACCAATTGTATGTTATTGTAACTTATCCTGCAATAGCCTGCGGGCTGGCACAACAGCATCTTTGCTTAAGATCTGACGTTCGCGTACGATGCGTCGGGTTCCTTTTCAAAAAAACTCATAAAGTATCATAACCGCAAGCGAACCAAAAAATTCGAGCCAAAATCACAATGCTGTACGTTATTATAGCCACAGACAGTTTTTAAGGACTTAAGCCGACCGCTGATCGGCGCTCTGATGCGCCCTGAGAGATAGAAAGATGCGCGCCCTCGTACGCTCCAGATCTCGCGCGCGCACTTATAAACACACACGTGTGGCGTAATACACGTCATAAGCCGAGCGATGTTTACTCATATACTCTCATAGTTATGTTGCTGCGCGGATAGCAGCGAAAGATATGAGCTTTATGCGGACACGGCCTGGGTACAGTGGTGATCGTTTAGAAGGGGAGCATCGAGTGTGGCGAGGTGAAGCACACATCGCACTCCAACATTATTAATATATAGGTAAGGCTTGGCGCGCGGCGACGGACAGTGCGGATCGCTGCGCGGCTCCTGCAGCAGCAGCAACAGCACACGCTTACGCCGCGCCGCTGCTCGTCAAATCGTCTTGGACTAATAGGATCAGCCGAAATCAACGAAGCGGCTCAGATTGCGGCACAGATTGGGTCGTTTCGGCTCGCGCAGATGACGATTCCAGATGCGGCGACGTTTCAATAGGCAGATTACCCCAAAAGCTGCGCTGCGCCTGGATTAGCTATTCGCGTCGGGGCCTCATATACTACTCTTTTTCATTGATCTGCGCGGGGCTCGCTTACGCGCGATACGCGAGCTCGTGTCTATGTATACTATTTTTTTCTTCTATAATTCTGACCGATCGACTCCGATATATTGTTCTCCATTGTTTTCATCATTTCTGCCTAACGCTTTGTACTTTTTTTTCTTTTTCACGTTATTATTGGCTCTGAGTGAGATTGGCTTCGGTTTCCTTGTTATCTCGAGAACTGAAGATGAATCCCGATTGTTGCGGAGTATTCTTTGAAAAGATTTTTTATTCCAACATCAAATGAAAAAAGAACCTATGTCTAATATTCACAAAAAACGATGAATTTCTGTTCGCATTTTGAACTATTTTACAAATATTGAGTGAATCAAACGTGTGAGAATTAATTTCAAATCCTACAGTTCTCATATATATCCTGAACTATGCAAATCAGTAGCTGTTTGAATAATTCAATCTGTTGATATTTTTTCGCTACCGTTGACGAGTGTTTTGACTATACTTGAATTATATACGCCTGTCGTGGCAAGAATATTTTTTCGCCTTTTTTTGATTCATTCATCTTTTAGTGTGCTTATACTCATACTCGAATGAGAAGAAAGGATTCATCCGTCAAAATGTAGATATTATAATGAATAACACGTCTTCATAACTTTCGCATCGTTTTACGAAACGGAAACCGATATACTAACTATTATTTAAATGCGTCGAAATAAGTAATTCTTGGTAAAGGATTAACGCTTGTTATTTCAATAAATGCGAATATATCGGTCAATCGAATATAAAAAAAAAATAAGCTCAATGATCACTATCCGAAAAATATATGAATCACGCAAAGGTCAAATATCCAGAGACTAATTATAAATGTATATATTTCGTATATAATAAAAGTCAATTAAAAAATACTAGAGCTCGGCGCCCGGCTATAATACGGTAGCTTTTTATTGGCAAGCGCGCACAGCTTTTTCGGCTTAACGAAGATCCGCGAAATCAAGAGTCTCTAACAAGCGCGCATGTGGGTGTCAAGCCATCCATGATGGCGATCTTGAAAACGCGGCGCGTTGTCCCGGTAACCTCGAAAGTCGACTCTGTCGTCGTTGTCGTCGTTCTCTTTCTCATCATCTCGTGCCCCTCTCTTTCTATCTCATCGAGGCGCGAGCGAGAAATTCCAACGCGTCTACTAGCACGCAGGAACATACAGAGAAGAGCGAGAGACAGAGAGAGAGAGAGAGGAATCGAAGAGGGTCGTTACGGGGTGGTAGAGAGAAGCGTCATCGTCAACGGGCGTAGAATAGGGGCGGTTTACGGAAACGAGTTCGATGGGGGGGACCGGATTTTAGAGGGAGGAAAATGGAATCAAGTTCGTGGAAAGAGAGACAGAGAGAGAGAGAGAAAAAAGAGGGAGCGAATCTCAAAATTGATGGGGATACTCGCTCGAGGGACGATCAGCCGAGCTATATAGCATAGCGAGAGCGAGAGAATGATCAGAAGGAAACGAACGCACTGTTTCTACAGCGGCTAGATTTTTCCCTTGCTTCATTAAATCAAAAGGAAACTGCTGGTTCACTCAGACCCAATCGACATTTATTACTCGAATATCCATTCGTTTTTATTTCTTACGGCGAGACCTATTCGATATTAAAAATATGCTCGATTGGCAAAAGAATTTTCGAATACTGAGATGGTGAAATTTCGAGCTAGGCCCTGCGATGATATTTCAAAAGAAAAGCTGTACGAATAAGCCGAGACTAGAACAATAAGGACAAAAGAAAAGGAGGAGAGATAAAGCTTTCGGGCGGCGGTGGCGGCGGCAGTGGTTGCGTCGGCTATTAAAAGAAAGACAGAAAAAGCTGCAAGAGATACGTATAGAACGAGACAGCGATAAGCTTCGCTGATCGAGAGCGGAGGTGACGGAGTAAACCATACACTCTTTCTCTCTCTCTCTTTCTTTTTCTCGTGTATATAGCCCGAGCTGTGCTGCAGATAGAATAGTAACTGCGACAGCTGATGAACGCTCCGACGAGAAATGGAGGGATAGCACGCGAGAAGATAGAAAGAGAGGAAAGAGAGAGAGAGAAGGAAGATCGGACTGTCAGCAGAAAGAGGGATGGATAGCACGAGAGCGAGCGAGCGAGGCCGTCGAGCTGGGGTTCAGTGCGCGGAGGCGGAAACTAATCGCGACTGTCTCGCTTTCACCTCGAAACTCTTCCTTTCCCCCTTTTCTCTCCTTCCCGTCTCCTCCTTCTATTGACGCTGCTTCTGCTGCTCTCATTTTGTCTCTCTCTCTCTCTCTCTTTCTCAAAGCGTTGCGCGCAAAAGCTTTCTGCGGGGGAACACGATGATTGCGATGAGTTTCGACAATGTCCCAGTCGATCTGTCAAGAACTGCTTGCTAGAGCTCGTATAAACTTCTCGAGATGCTCCCTTATATATTCGACGATATGCCTCGAAACTTTCGAGAGATCCAGTTCTCGACTTTTACATCATTATTATTATTTTAATTCGAGAACTTATGCTTTTTCGAATAGCCCATTATATCGCTTGCTATTTTTTCCATGGTAATAATATGCAAAGAATGATTAATATCTTATCCATTGTAATAATTTTCCTCGTTTTTTTTTGCAGATACAGGGTCGTTGTTAACGCATCAACAAGAAACGACGTCCGATGGTAACTCCGAGCACAATTCTTCGGGCGACGAAGATTCACAAGTCCGAATGAGGCTAAAAAGAAAACTGCAGCGCAATCGGACCTCATTCTCCAACGAACAGATCGACAGCCTCGAAAAAGGTAATAATTCATTTTATATCTCCGTGGAGATTTTTACCTCACTTGCGTATAATTGTAGAAAATTTTAATTTTAATTGTAGAAAAAAGTTCTCTTCTCGTCATATATCATTCCCGTGAAAGAACAAAGAAAAGCTCGAGTCATCGTAAAGCAAAAAATTGTTTAATTAAGAGTGAAATGGTCGTTTGTTGAGACAAAGTTTGAAACAATTTTAAAAAGCATGCGTACCGAATTAAATAAGTGGGTCCGCGCGCGTGCTTTACGTATATAAATAGTGGCGCGGTCAAAAGAGTAAGATAATTGAGAGAAAAGCGAGAGAGAAAACGCAAAAAGAGCCAGCTAGCCGTGTAGCCGCGCGCTGACTGACTGACGCGCGTATGCGCTAGACTATCTGATGTGAATAACAAAGCACTTGTTGCGACGAACTATATCATCACTCACGTCTACGTCTCGTTTCGTTTTGTTTTCTTTTCCAGAATTCGAGAGGACGCACTATCCGGACGTGTTCGCCAGGGAGCGCCTTGCCGAAAAGATTGGATTGCCTGAGGCACGTATCCAGGTGAGTGTGAATGTGGCAGTGCGAATGCGACGATCGTCCGCATAAGATCCCTCTCGCGGGGGGTCCTCTTTGGGACGTCTCTGTGCGATTGCGTCTTTTCGTGCCTACAAACACTTGTACGTCTGTGCTTTCGTTTAAAATTATATATAAATCCAAAAACAAATTAACGCCTAGTTGTACATTGCTTTGAAAATCAGATTTTAATGCAAAACATTTCAATTGAAATAATCGCATTGACACCCCGTGCCCGCGGTAAAAAGGAAAAAGTCGTTGAGCCAAGAGTCACATGTAGTCGAGAGTAATCTTCGCCCTGAATGTGTGTGTGTGTCTCCGGCTTTCCTCTTGCTTTCATTAAGCGCACGACGACGAATCTCTCTCGCACTCGGCTCTCGCTACTCGACAAAGTTCAAGCGAGATGAGAGTCGTCGTCGTCGGTGTCGGCGGCGATGGGAGAGAGAAAGAGAGAGAGATAAAGTACGAGCGCGAGAGGGCGAGAGAAATAGAGACAGCAGTTTCTCTCTGCTCTGGTACAAGCCTGCGAAAACTAGATGATGATGCTCGTTCAGCAGCGCAGTCGCGTCGCATGCGCTCGCTCGCGCGCGATTTGACGCGTGATAGAGCGCGAAAAAGAGAGGAGTGTACCTTATAAAAGCGAGCGCAAGCTCGAGCGGAGCTGCTGCTGCTGCTGCTGCGGTGTAAAAGTTTGCTCCTGAGTCGGCGATGCGCGTCTTATCCTTTCGCGTGTGCAAGCTCGCCTGCCTGCCTGCCTGAAGCGTCATTAATTTTTTATAAGTCGCGCGCGCGCCTCGTTACGATGCGTTACGCGTAGGTATACCTCTCGCACGCCGTAAGCTTTATACTCCATGTAGATGGCTCGGCTATCGTCGCATGACTGCCATTTTCAACATATGATTTTTTTCAAATTGATTTTCCATTAACATTTTTACATAATTTAACGGAAAAATGTTTTATACGTAAGCGTAAAAATTTATCTGATACTTCGTCACGGTAAACAAACATTTCCAGTAGCAAAGAGCGCGTATAGTCAGTCGGATCGCATTCTCATATCGGTGCGGAGTTGAGAAAAAAAAATATTACATCGGGCTATTCAGGCTTTCGCGCACACACAAAGAAAAACACGCTCGCCAGTCGCAGTTATAGATAGCGATTGTCATTTTCGTGCGAAAAACTTTGGGTTCGCGTTGCATTTGTAGCAACAGCAGCAGCACTACCACCAAGGGCAGGAACAACAGCGGCAACAGAAGCCGAGGCTCATGTTATTCAAAAAGAGAGCCGTACCGTTCGCTGAAACTGCCACTACGGCGAGGTTTGTGTAAGCTCATGCATATGCGCGAAGGGGGTCCATAACTTGTGCCAAAACTCGCAGCTCGAGCACGTTGTAAACACGTACACGTATACACACGCGCGTACACACAGACTGGCGCAGCATCCACAAGGCTAGTCGAACACAGCCGCGTACAAATATCTATATAGGAGTCGAGCAAAAATATATACCCTCTGTGTGTGTATGTGTGTGTGCACCTATAGCATATAGGAGGGATGCTGCTGCTGCTGCTGCTACACGTCGGGCGTCGGCTCTATATTATTCTCCTTGAAAAATGGCGCAGACCGAGGAGTAAACGTACATACTGCTAAAAGCTCGAGTCGAAAACGAGCGAAAAGCTAATATTGTAATGGTCAAAAGAGAAAATAGTTTTGCCATATACGTAATAGCAACATTTCCAGTTCTGTGTGTCGAAGGGGATGGCAGGGAGGAAGGGGGGAGGACTAAGGAGAGTGCGAGCGTTATAAGGTAGACCTCGGGGGGTCGGGGTCATCGTCGGGGCAGCAAGTAGCAGTATAGTATACACACTGTGCTTTCGTTGGCTGGCACGCATCCAACAAAGCTCGAGCGCCGGGCATATTATTTTAATTAATACGCTCGCTGTATATGCGGCGGTTGTGCGGTACGGCGGTGGTGGCGGCAAGGCGAGTATTATATGTGCATGCTATATATATAATAGCAGCACCAGCAGCAGCCGTGGAGCAGCACACGTGGACGAGGGAGCATAAAGCTAATATGTACGTAGCCTTGTCGGACATTGTTTGGACGTCGCGCAGAGGAGGCAGCAGCTATTTAACGGTGTGCGCTCGTGTTTGTGTGTGTGTAGGACGGATTCTCGCGCGCGACTCCGTCGTACACACACACACAAATACACTCATACTACATAGAAAGCTCCACACGTTGGTGTGCACCGCATACTATAATGCACACGCGAAGAGATGGTCGAGCGGGAGAGAGAAAGAGAGAGAAAGCTGGACCGAGAGGGTAGTAGGGGGTTAAGAAAGTTCAGTCAGAGCGCGGACTGTCGGCCACCGCCGCGCGCGTACAAACACGCACACTCGTATATAGTAGCTGTATACATATATACACGTTCATAGCGCGCGCAGGCGAACGAGTCGAGCGAGGCGTAGTATACCGGGTGGTGTACTACGTGCACAGGAGCATGTTGACGCATGTTTTCAAGCCTCGTTGGCTGGTATTGATCTTGCTAAGTGCAGGAAACTGGGAGAGAGCGAGTGAGCGCGGCGAGAAAGAGCTCGAGCTAGGGGAGGCACGAGGAGGGTATATATAAGCGGTGGCGGTGGCAGCGGCAGCAGCAGCAGCCCAGTGAAAGAGAGAGCAGCACGCTAGGCAGCTAGCAGAAGCAGACCTCTCTGTGGGCACCACCGACGAAGCCGCCTCGCCACCGCTGCTGCCGCTGCTGCTTCTGCTGCTACTAGAGACTCTGTCTTGACTCTACACTCTGTATTATATTTATACTTTTGCTTGCTGAAGGCGCATATGCACAAGCTCCGTACCTTTCGTGCCGTTCGCGTGCGTGCAAGCCCGAAAGCTCCTCTCCACGCGCGGAGAAAGAGAAAATATTATAATCGTGCAACCGGCTGTTACTCGGCGCGTATATACTTTTGTTCTCCCTCGCGAGGATAAATATATTTACTAAATTACTCCTCGCGCCACCAGAGAAAATGAGGGAGAAAGAGGGCGGGAGGGAGAGAGAAGCAGACACGATCTTTCCTGTTCGCGCTTTGTTTTCCGACGCCCCTCTTTTCTGGCCGCGTAAGCTCGCAGCCTAACTTATGTATCGTCGACTTTCTTCTTAGCAGCCAACTTTTCATCCTTGCGAAATGCGTGACGGTAAACAGCATTATACGAAAAAGCTTATCTCGATACAGACACGATGATAGCTGATTCTTCTCTTAAACCACGATCCGCATGTATCGCGTACGATCATTAATCGTATCTGTTTGTTTACAAGCTCGTATATGCTTTGCTGGAGTGTAAAGGCGTGCCAAAAGCACACACACACACACACTTACCCACGCACACTTGGCGACAAACCGAGAAGATGTATAGGTATTGCCTCTCATCGACGCGACGCGCGTTTACGTGGGCGAGCGAGCGAGCGCAAGCGTCTCGTCAATTCTCGAATGCATGACTAGTCCGACTATATCATCCTTACCTCTATGTGTACACCGATATATCAATAGCACACCTTTACGCATGGAAAGCGCGACGAGTTGCTCCTTGTGGGTGTCCTCGATAGGATCTCGGATATCATGGTCCGTGTCCACAGATATTTACCATTTGAATTTTCGAAGCTTTCACGATTTTTTATATTTTTTTTTTTTAACTGTGTATGCCATAATGAATTGACTAAATACCTCTAGCCATTTTTACTTCCAGTCCAAGAGAATCATTAATTTTTTAAACTACTAAACTAGCATGATGAACAAAGGACATTTTTTTGGTAATAAAGATAAATCTAAATGAGATTTTACATTATTAACATTGATAATAGAGAGTACTTTGAAAAAGTCCGAGAATCGAAATATTCTTTTTCTTCACATTCGTTTACACATTGAGAAAGATCCGAACTCGTTTCACGCAGTGAAATCAAGAGCGGCAGTTTGTAATAACAACACGAGCGAACACCGAGCTCGAGCGAGTGTTAAAAAAGGGAAAGAATAAGGGGGCGATTTGGCGAAAAATACGGGTGAATCCAACAACGGGTGGAAAGCCTAAGAGGGAACAGCTCTCTCTCTGTATTGAGTGTACATATAGGTAGTCAGTCGTCTCTCGCTCTATCTCAATGTGTTATATACGTGCTCGAGGTACACACATATTCAGAGATATAGAGAGAGAGAGATCCGTGGTACTGCTGCTCCGTACTCGGCTGTGTGTCGGAGTGTTATACGGTATAGGTGCCTCGTCGTTGTCGGAGTGTTTGGACGCGTGCGCGCGCGCGAGCTTGCTATATAAGCGTGGTGCAACCATGGCAACGCCGCCACACCGCACTCGCTCGCGCGCGCGTCCCCCGCGGGAGGTTTGCCTCTGATTGGCCATTCCACTGCTTCCCTCTTTCCAGCCATGTACAATTTCGTGTGGACCTCTCTCTCTCTCGCTCTGCACAGTTGCTCGGGCGCTTTCGCAGCTTTCTCTCCCTTCGTACTAGTAGTAGTATATATACGTACGTCGACACGCTACGGCTATGGGCTTGAGGTATATATAGGTATATTATAATATAGCCGGCTCGAGCGCGATATATATGCAGCACTGCTGATGCCACCGCCACCGCTGCTGCTGCTGCTGCTGCTGTTCAAGCTGTTCGCCGCGCGCTCCCTTTTCGACGCGATTATTATCATTTCGTATCTCTCGAGGGTTCGCTCGAGCGCGATGGCCGAAACTTTCCCCCGCCTGGCTGCTTCTCTCTCTCTTGCTCTCTCGTAACAACCAGTCCGCTCGCAGCTAGTTTATTATTATGTATACCCAGAACGCGAGCAGTGCACACACACACACTACCGTGACGAATGCATATTGTATTCCGCACGGAGTGGCCATCGCTAGGCCACGCACTATATATCATATGCCGAAAGGAGGATTTGCACCGTTAAAAAATAAAACAGAAAAGAAAGTGGAACAAAAAAATCGTTTTCAATCTACAACTATGTATAAGCTGAGGAAGGCTGCCGTCGTTGTTTCTCTTGCTATAAACTCCACAATAATATATTTATATTCGATACATGCAGCAAAAGGTTCGATTTGGATCGCGCTCGGTGTAATACGATATTTTTCAATTAGTATACATAGTATATAGCGGGAGCGCTAAAAAGTCGCATCTTCGCTCCATCGTCTCGAGGCTTTTGCCGTGTCAGGTAATACTCGCGAGGTCATTTTCACCTTGAATTCTTCGAAGAGCTAGCCGCAAAAAGTCGTCGTCGTCGTCGCGATTGCACACTAGCGTGTCTGCGGCTCTTGCGTATGCTAATTTTTTGCGTCGATATAGTGGACCGATGCGAGCTCTTTTTTTTTCCTTATTTTTTGATACTTCCTTGAACGTCAATTTTTTTTCTATAAAAGAGAGTAAAACCGATGTTGCCGATGAGCGAACGAGAGAGATTTTGTAACGATGTTTTGACAAGGCTGTGATGGCTTACCTATATTGATTGATGAGTATCTTCCGAGCCCGCGCGCCAAATTCAATGGAACTCATACTACGGCTAGACTGCAAAAATGAGTATGAGGGGAGGGGACGAGCGAGACGACGGGAAGTAGAATTCATAATGCGACATCTCATCATCACTTCATTGTCACGATCGACGCGATGAGGTCTGCCCCAATAATTAAGCCAACTTATTTATTCGTAATGATTTTTGGAAATATGAATTATATATTATATTATGTGTGGTTTCTCTTGGACAACCAGTCTATTGACGCTGTATCGACAGCTCAGCTCTCTATGACAGCGCGCGAATCTCGTTAAACGACTATATATAATACGTATACGATTTTCGCGGAACTAATCACGAGTACTCAGACGGCTACTGTCTACCCGCGTGATTTCGAGAATCTGCGTGTGGCTGATTGAACGTCGACGTTCGACCCGTGTGCCGCTGTTGGGGTGATTTAGCAGCGGAGCACAACGGTAAATGTACGTGCGTCTGTGTGTGGGTGCGCGTGTCGAGGCACGCGGCGCACCTTCTTTGCGCATTTAATGGCGCGTAAGCGAATTCGGGCAGCAGCTAGAACCAGCATCAGCAGCATTATAGCGCAAAAAAGAGCCAATAAAGATACGTTGCAGAGATCGATTTATGGATCGAGCCCGAGGTTAATAAAGTATCGCTGGTACTGCTGGAGACGTCGCGCGGCGCATACGCCATGGCTAAACGAGTGCCGCCGCGCGGCTTTAAGAGATAAATGGTATTATATACGTCCGTCGGTAGTGGTGGTAGAGTAGCTATGGTTCTCTTGGCTACCTAGGCGTGCAGGCGCACGAGAGCAGCAAGACTCAGCCGAGACAAATGGCCCGCCCGCGCCGCCCTCTCGATATTTTTCGCCACAAACATCGCACAAAATTCGACCGACCGATCGAAATTTAGCGCCTCGTCGAAAAAGCTCGCTACACTCGTCTACACACGCGAACGTCTTAATCAGACTTTTAGCGTGTCGAATTAGATTTGCGAAACAATCCAAATGAACGACTAGCTTGCATGTAGGTACGCGCGTCGATCGCCGGTACACCCTATAACTCGTTAGCGATCGATAGGATTCTAGCTAACGCGTCCTATATATGCACACATACTGCAGGTAAATATATCTGTATAGGCGCGCTTACGGGTATACGCGTATAAAGCGCGATACTGGAAACCGCGAGCAACGCCAAAACTGAAAACAATCGCGCAGCCAGCCAGCCAGCGAGAGAAAGAGAACGAGAGAGATACGAGCTTGGCCAAACGTTTGCGCCTATGTCAATTCGATTATACGGCCGCGCGCACAGCCGCCACTGCAGCAGCAGCGAGGCGCGCAGCCAGCAACAGCAGCAGCAGCAGCTGTTTGCCAGCAAAGCTTTATCGCTTTGTCGCAAATTTTGTATCCCCCCTACCCCTAGATTTAAAGCGCGCATGGTGCTGCTGTCCAACAGCGCCGCCAAACGCAACGAAACTCGATGATTTGAACGTGCACTACTTTTATCTGGCACCGTTAACCACCCTTGTGATAGCTGCTGCACGGTGCGTGCTATTATATTTTTTGCTCGTTTTGTTAGCCGCCTTACTCTGCTTCTGTGAACGTATATTTATAAGCGCGTACGAGCAAAAGTTGCAGATGAAAAAAGTACGGTCAATTCGGTATGACGTCCAGCGAGACATAAAAATATTGTAGGAAAAAATTGTCAGCTCGCGAAAGATATATCGAACGAAGGCAACACTGTCGAGAGCGGAAAAAGAGAGAAAGAGAGACTTGGAGGGTTGACAACAGAGAGAGAGTAATTTAATATCCCGTCTGACAACTGCTCAATCGCAATTAACAGATTCCGAGCTCGTGCGAGCGTGTGTTCGGTGAAAAAGAGAAGGTATTTAGAGCTGCTGCTGCTGCTGCTGCTGCTGCTGCTAGGCGCGCGTGATAGGTATAGGTACCGAGCAGCAAGAGAGCAAAAGAGCGCAGAGCGAGGCTTGTGCCAGCTACGAGTCAAAGCTCACCTCCCGAGCCGACGCTAGCTGCTCTGCACAGCCACCGGAAGTACGGACCGTCGAGCGCTGAAAGAGAGAAAGAGAGACAGAGCCCTGACGAACAAATTGGCCGGACCAGAGAGAGAGCAAGTGCCTATATAGTCCGCGCACGGCCAGCAAATAGATTAAATTCATACCAACTCCGGCGGTAGTGACAGTCGGCCTGTCTCGTCGGCAAATGTACATAGAACATAGACTCGATGAATTCGAAACTCTCGACCGTTGTCAGCTGGGCTGATTAAATAAAACTTAGAGATTATAAACCAAAGTAGCGCGAGCGAACTCTCGGGGTAAACAACGCGGCGCAGTGCATAGCGTACAAGTGCGTAATGTAGAGCACGAGTGAAAGTAAATGAGTCGAGAGTGTTTGATTAAGAATACACTTCAAGCTACGCGTGGACGCACTTTTCTAACAATTTTTTTTTGTTCCTTCCTTTTTTGTCGCACAGGTGTGGTTCAGTAATCGACGAGCCAAGTGGAGACGCGAGGAGAAGCTCCGCACCCAGAGACGCAACGCCGTCGATCAGGTAGTCGGCGGCGGCAACAGCGGCGCGGGAAGCGCGGGCAACGGCGGGGCCAGCGGAGTGGGTAGCGCCAGCAGTGCGCCACCCGCCGCGAGTCCGGCCACGCCGAGATTGCCGCTCAACGCTGGATTCAACACCATGTACTCGTCGATTCCGCAGCCCATTGCAACGATGCCCGACACTTACAGGTAACGTAATCTCAGCGGCTCGATATATCTCATCTATCCTTCATTTCGAAAAATCTAATTTTTTTTTCTTTCCATCTCTGATTACAGTCCGATGTCGAGCAGCCTGGGCAGCTCGATGGGCGGCAGCTGTCTGCAGCAGCGGGCCGACTATCCGTACGTGTTTCACGAGCCGCTCCACTCGCTGACCCAATCGGCGTACTCGCACGCGGCCCACCAGTCAGTGGCCGCGGCGGCGCACTCCCAGACCCACCGTGGCATCAGCTCGAGCGGGGCTCACGCGCCGGGCACACCCACGACTCCGGGCGCCCAGAGCGCCTCGGGGCCTGGCTCTGCAAGCTCGTATCAGCCCACCACCTCGACCGCCACCGGTGAGTTTTTCTTTAACGATAAGCACTATTACGAGTGGTACTATCAGCAACACCATACACAACAATACTATCAGCAACACCATACACAAGAATACATGGCATATTAAACAAAAAAACAAGAGCAAGGATGAAGAAATTTGTAAATAAAAATTTGAAAAAACAAAGAAAGAAATTTGTAAATAAAAATGTACATTAACGTAAATTTTACATGTATGAATGATATAATAAATTGTAAGTTAAGATTCATTTCCCCGCGTGTACTTGTGTGCATTGTTTATCAACACCCCAGTGAACAGCCTTATTAAAAGCAGCCTCGCTCATTCATTTCTAACGATGCGAATGATTTGCATGTGAAACAACAACACAAAAAAGAGAAAAATTTATCGATTAAAAAAAATTGCCCGCGCGTCGGGTAATTATTTCCGATTAATCAGAGCTCCGGCGTGCTTCTCTCATTTGACAATTGAAAAAAAACAACGAGCTGCGAAAATGCCTCTGTATTTTTCCGCCGCACCGACACTGGGCACGGCTTGGCTTGGCTTGGCTTGGCTCGGCTCGCACTGCTGCTTGCGCAATTCAATCGTCATTAGTACAATAACATTATTGTGCGTCATTATGTAATAGTTTCGAGTTGGAAAGCTCTTTCTCTCTCTTCGTTCGAGGGAGTGGAAAAACAACCTCGGATGGCTCTGCCTCTCTTTCTCTCTCTCCACGACTCTGTGCTCTCGTTTCGCGTGCGCGATCCATATATACATAGCTATACGTCTATTATGTATCGCATATAAAGCCGGGGCCGAAGCGCGGAGTTCTTTTATCAGAACTCATCATGCAGTAGGATCGAGAGAGCGAGCGAGCATGGCTGCAGTGCGCGGCTATGCAGTAATGGAAAAGCAAAAGCCAGAGAGAGAGAGAGAGAGAGAGAGAGAGAGAGAGAGAGAGAGAGAGAGAGAGAGCACCGCGGCTCGTCGTAAACAATGGCTTGGTCGATCAGGAAAAAAAGCCCGCACTGGTTTCGGTGAAATGAACGAGCGAGCACCGCGTAGGGTATATGGTAGTGTACCCTCTTCGCTTTGAACACACAGCTGCATGAACATTATACATACATACACATGCGCGATTTAAATTTTGCGCTATGAATCGACAGTGCGGAGTAGTATGTATAGTCAGAAAAGGAAAGAGCAGCAGCAGCAGCCGCTTCCCTCCCTCTTTCTCTCTCTTGGCTTTTCATTCGCGTAAAAGCAATCTTGCCTGCGTCGAGTAACAGGCTGTATAATAATTATGCCGCTCGCGCGTCTGACTATATATCTATATACGTCGCAAAACACCTACAAAATGCATTCGGCACGAGCAGCAGCGCACCAGCAGCAGTGCACTACGGCAAAATTCAAATTATCAATGTCGCATCTCGCTCCTCTCTACCTTTCGTAACTGCATTTTGCTCTCTTGCCTTTTCTTGTGCTCCCTTTTAGCCTTATGCCTTCAAAAACGGCGCGCGCGCGTGCTCTCACTTTGCTTTTCATCTTATACATCATATACCTATATCCTCGTTGCGCAGCCTAGCTCCGCTGGCAAACTGTTTTGCACTTCCTGCTCGTGCGAAAGCTCAGTTGACGGCGTAATACTTGTGCACATTGAAAAACAGGTGGGTCATTATGAACTTGCCGGTTATACGCGCCGAAAGAAAGGAGAGCGAGAGAACGAGAAATGCTGCGCGCATAAATGGATTTGTATGAAACAAGGCAAACAAGAACACTGAGAGATGGAAGCAGCAGCATACGACTGATGAATAAAAGCCCTAAAACATCACGAGCGCGCGCGCCGCCGCGTTGACTAACTGAATATACACAGCGCGCATGATGAAAAGTACAATGACGCGCGAGTGCGAAGGTACTTGCGACGCGCATTGACGACTCGCAAGCTCGCGAACGAATGGAACGAAAGAAAGAAAGAAAGAAAGAAGCGGAGAAAGAACGAATGACACGAGCTCGAGCTGCCTCTCGATACGTGCGTGTATATTACGAGAGGACGAGGAGAGAAAAGAAGAAATGAAAAGCAACAATAAGGCGCCGTCGTCGGTGGCGGTGGTGGCAGTATTGTGCGCAGCAGCGAATAAATACGTGAATGAAAAGCGAATGAAAACTACTGCCGTGAGCTTTTTTCTGTTCTTTTTTTTTCGATTGCCTCTCAACGATATTGTTTTCGTATAAATGTGAGGACAAACAACTCGTGGTGCCGCTCTTGCGGAGTTTGTTTTTAAAGAGTTCTCTGTTACGGCCAAGTGCTCGTTTTTCCTTCTTACCCTTCTTCATCCTGTATGCCCGCTTCTCAATGCCACAACTACTACTACTGACTCCTATCTGCTTGTCTATCCTGAGCATTATTGTTTGGTTGTGGCAAGCAGACACGAATTTAGCGTTCATTGTGTACGGCCTAACTGTGATGACGCGCGAGAAACACATAAATCGAGAGCACAAAGTTCGACGTCGCTCGTGAGCAAAATCATATAAACTGTGCATAAACATTCACAAGCAAACGCGACAATTTTTTTCCTACATTTCACGTTAATTATTTGTAGAAAAATAATTATACTCGTTTCGCGTTACGATCTTTGACGAGCGAAATCCATCCGTTCTTATAAATATGGAGAGAGAGAAAAATTGTACGGGTAAATTGAAATTTAGCGATTACGTATTAAAATGAACAAAATCGATGTACACACGCACGCACATACACACATCTGCGTCGGAAGAACGTAAAAAATGCGTTCGTGTTTCGAGAGCCGCATGCATAGAATTGTATCGAAAACCATAATCCATATACACTTAAGCCGATACATTTTTCTTTTTCTTTTTTTTTCTGCGCCCACCGTCGCCGCTGCCGCATGGTACTCGACCTCGTACACTCTCGGGGCATTCAGTAATTCAATCCCGAAAAGACGCGCGAGGGTGTATATGGATGCAGCTTCGAGCTCGCGTGTGTACAGGGTATAGATAAGCGTGCTGCTGCGCCCGTGGATTCTTTCGCCGGGGCCGAAAATAAACGGTCTGCCTTAAAAGGGTATTTTCCACTTTCGGATTTAGACTAACGCACACACACACACACATTCGTTCATTCGTTCGTCGCGCGCGCACAGGGAGAGAGAAAGAGAGAATCAGACTCAGGGCTACGTGCGTGGCTTGGAAAAAAAGACGAAAGAAAGTGAGCGAGTGCCAGAGCTACGCGCGCATGCGGCAAAAAGAAGAGTGAAAAAAAAGGGAGACTGCGAGAGGCAGGATTACCGTGGAGTCTCTTCGCACGTAATCTACATAGGCGGCCCCGGAGAGGGTGGGTGCACAGGCTCGAATTGTAAAAGGATTTTAAAACAAATCTCGCGTGCGGCTCTCTCTTTCTCTCTCTTCTTTTCGCTCTCTATCTCTTTCTCTCACTCTCTTCTTCTTTTTTTTTTATTCTTCTCGCACTTTCGAATTGCGAAGGCGAGGCACAAGACTGGTAGGTAGAGAGGACCACGCGCGCTAGGCCTTCACGTGAGATAGACAAGAGGGCGATATTCGGCGGTTTTCTCCGACTCGCCCTCCGACTGCTGCTGCTGCTGCGAATATCTCATTTTCTCGCTCGATTGCGTTTCGTGTTCCTAGCTGCTAGGCTCGTGTTCCTGTCTCCGACTGTTTGGACTTTGAGCTCGAGCTATACCACTCGACTGTCCGCTGAGCTCCCGGAGTTTGCTGCGTCAATCTATATTTTACACCCTACGCCAAAGAGACGAAAGTTTCGAGTCAAAAAATGTCGAGAAAAATGAAAGTAAAACGAGGTGCTAGAAACTAATCCTCATATTAGAAAAATTTATTCTTAATAGTAACGGATCTAGACCCACAAATTCGTGGTCGGGTTGTTCAGTATATAGTTTCGACAATTCCAGACGTTGTCTCGCACGTACACGTCATCGTGATGTACAAATGTAACGACAAGAAAACGCCGCGCATAATATTTTAATGTCTACGCGTTTTGCCATTTCGTTTCTTTTACCTTTTTTTCCTCCCCGAGCTCCGCTACGCTAGAGTCTCTCACTCGCAGAGTTTTTCCGTCGTACTTTGTTTCCCTCCTCCTCTTCTTTTTTTTGTCCTATTTTTTTCCTTTTTATTTTTGCATTCGCGTGTGTATGTATAAAGTATAAAAAAGAAAACGAGGCGGTATAGCAGTGGAGTCTTGCATGCGCTACGCTGTGCTGGAGGGTTCTTGGTGAAAAAAAGCGGAAAAAGCTCGGTTTTTGCCGGAGCTTTTTTTCACTACACAGACGCGAGTGCGAACGGCGCGCGCGCGTGTTACGAATGTTGGCTGCTGCCGCGCGCGCGCGCGACGCTATTCTCTCCTTACGGTTGGCTGCTCGCGGCGCAAACAAAAAATAATACATGTGTGTGTGTTTGAATGTGTGTACGTGCATGTGCTATATACGGCTGTAGTTTTGTGGCCGCGCGTTCACATCTATTTTCTCCGACGCAAAAAAAAAAAGATTTTTCAATCCCCGCATATAAAGCGTGTGCGGCACAGTTGCAGTTGCTGCTGCTACTACGCTGCACCCCTAGAATAACGCATGTCTCATTTTGTAAACACACTGGCGAAAAACAATGGCATGCGGTGGTATATAAAACGCAAAAACTAAGGCGTCCTCCCTCCTATGGTGATTGTTTCAGGAGTGATATCGGCTGGCGTCTCGGTGCCGGTGCAGATCCCGTCGCACCCGGCGCACACGTCGGACATAACGTCGAACTACTGGCCGCGGCTTCAGTGATCACAGCTCTTCGGGTTCCCGGCTACGAGTCTGCTCGTCGGCCAGGAGAGCCCGCCCCCGACGACACCGTCGACCTCGTCGCCGTCCTCGCTGACGGCATCATCCACCCTCGGTGGCAACGGCGGCGGCAGCAGCTCGATGTCATCGCAGACCTCGATCAGCAGGCCCCAGCAGCTGCTCGCGTCGCTCGGCATTGGCAGCTCTCACAGTAGTGCAGTCGCGAGCGCCAGCAGCAGCACTCCTCTACACAACAGCTCCGACGTAAGTGAGTAAAGAGAGAGAGAGAGGAGCAAATGAGCTGCCAGTCGAAAAGCACGCACGTTTTTTCAATGCAGTGGTGCTTTATGCCGATCGTTGAAACTTGAATGTGGCATCACGATGGTCACAAAAATCGAGAGATACATCACACACGAGTTTAATATTGGACGAATTTATACATACATGATATATACAATTATATAATATATGAAATAAGAGTACGTGAAAGCTCCGAACGAATATGTAAAATTAATTTTGTAAAATATATTCCGCAAAGCCGTTTCACGCCGGAATGCACGATTCAATGTAATAACAATTAGATTTTACTTATCGATTCATTCCTCCTCACGCTTCTCTCGCATCCGAAGTAAGTCGAAAGCTTTCCACGATGTATAAGAATTGCGGACACGCGGTATTGTTGCGAAATAAAAAAGAAGAATCGAATGGATTAGTGTAAAAGAGGGAAGAAGAAAATATTTTATAATGCATACGATGTACCGCAGCAGCCGAGGTCGCAGCGATATTATCTCTCTCTCTGCTCGTATATAACAAACGGGACTCGGGAGCGAGGTATTTTTTCGTTGCCGCACAGAGAGAAGCACAAGCAAGCAAGCAAGCCAGCAAGCAAGCAGCCTAAGAAAAATATCGATAAAAATGGCAGAAGCAAAAAAGCCCCCGCCGCTGCCGCCGCCAACAGCAAAACGTATATCGCCTCCTTGGGAAAACACAATGTCTGCTGCTGTACTGCTGCTATGTGCGCGCATACAAAGAACTCTCGACTACTCTGTCGCGTTGTGGCTGGAGATCGATGAGGCCGCGTGAGGGGACTCGACGATTGAGCTTCGTGGTGCGCGCCTGTGTATACCTATACACACCCACACACGAATACGACGCGTACGTCTGTGTGTGTGTGTGTGTGTATGTCTGTATAGACGTAGGGCGCTTGCGAGGGTGGCTCACAGCCATCTGTCTCTCTCTCGCCGCCTCTCTCTCTCTTTCTCCAAGTCTCTCTCTCTCTCCCGTGCTCGATGGTAATCGCGAATATTTGAGGGCGTCTGTGCGTGCGCCTGGCGCGGCCTTCGCAAGCTATCTCTCTCTCCGTATATACTGCGTAAGCGCGTGCATTATGTATGTATGTAACGGGCCGCGCACAACACACACCCACGCACGGGCAATAAGCCGTGGCTGACGTATTGTGCCCGAGAGTTGCCTTTCGTCGACGAACGCGCGGCCATCGCGCTCGAAACCGAAGACATGGCGGCGGCGACGACGACGGCAGCGTAGTCTGCGCGTCGATCCGACACTCGCTAGAGTCGCTTCTTCAAACTACTACATACATACAGAGAGATATATGTGTACACGACTATTCCGTGCGTGCGCATCAGCCGCGCGTGAATTCACACTTCTCCGCGGCCGAGAGTCGTCGATATTATGTGCTGCTGCTGCTGGCCCATCGTCCGATTCCACCGCTGCAGTAGCAGCAGCAGCAGAGTCACAAAAGCTTCCTCGACGCGACTGTACTTTCTACTCCCAGAGAAGCTTTTGTTTCTATCTGCGAGTCAATCAAAATTTAATCTCTCTCTGATATACTGTCCGTGTGCTTCTCTCATCACACACAATGCCACATTTTAAAAAACGTTTCTTTGTATTCTGGATGGTCTTCTCCGCACCGATGTATCGAGTTTCGCGAACGACGAAAATGAACCGAAAACTGCGTGATTTATTGTTTGTAGCAGAATAAAGTGAATGATTTGTTTCGTGTTTTTTTTAGAAAAGTTTCCTTATTGTCGATTGCAATTGATGCAGTTATGCAATAAAAGCTATTTTCTTGTTTTTGCTGTAAAAAAATAAAGTAATTATAAAACAATATGGACTTTATCTTTAAAAAAGCTCAATATGCATGAGTATTAATTACAGCATTAAAACGTGATTTGTACATAAAAAGGATGACGTATCGTATACGTACGTTTTCACTTGCGACATTGCTATTAAAAATACCTTGGCAAAAGACACAATCATTATATTACATACAAATTTTAATCTAATTTTTCTAATAAAAAGAAAAAAAATGTCTTGTATAAAGATAATTAAATTTATAAAAATGTGTATTACTTGTGAAAAAATAAATTAAGATTATGATTTATAGTTAACATTTAAAACTGTCATTTGCACTTCTGCTCCTTTTTTTTATGTCTGATAAAATTATAAATTAATCGCGTGAACATCTCTAGTTGTTCTTGAGCTTTTGATTGAGTGAACAAGGTAAAATCATTTTTCACAAAAACAAAACACAAAAAAATATATTTGTCTGTTACGATATACAGTAAACGAAGGATTATCAAGATTAAAAATAATAACCATAGGAAATAATTTATAACGATAAATTAACATAGTAACATAAAATCAACCATGCATACTTTAATGTACTATAAACCGTATATTGTTGTAAATTACCGAAGCAGATCAAGTCAAGTCTCTCACATGGGATAATAATGTCAGAGAACATAAAAGACGATTCGTGAATGAACATTATTTCTGTTGCCAAACTCGTTTCGATGCGTGCTTTTTCGTAAGCATATCATTTATCTATATATATCACTTATATAATTACGCAGCAAATGTTTTTCCATGCTCAAAATGCGGATTATCATAGAATATAAAGTATGTGAAAGAAAAATAATAGCCTCACCCCAGTTTGCAAGTCTCGCAATTCTACAATGATAATGTACGTGTATAGTTGATTGTTCTGACGTTCTTTGGACGTGCAATTTTCCCTCGATATTAGATTAAAACTAGAGCAGGAATTATAAATACTTATAGATATATGAATTCGAATCTCGATAACGAAAAAGTCTGAATTTAAGCACACAAGTAAAATACACACTTGGTATTGAGTTGTTAAGTTAACGAGCCGCAATGATACTTTACGAATTAAAGCTCATACGTGCTTCTCATGTAAAAGTCATGAAAACAATTATGTTAAATATTCATTTAATCGCGTATTCCGATGTTTTTGATCTCAATAGCTAATAATAATGAAATACTTGGGCGATTTCTCTGAATAAAGCTCGGAAATTTTTTTCTCAAAACTTGCATTGGCCAGACTCGTCTCATATTTCGGCCAAGCATAAAATAATGTGACTTGCTTCAAAAAAACAACGATTGTACAAATCGATCAAAAACGTTTATTGTAAATAGGCACATTTCTTTAGTTCTTCAATTGTTAGTCGTTTCATTGTACATTTATTTTTAATTATTATACGATACGTGTATATGAATATATACTTATGTTTTTTCGTTTTAAATTGAGTAACTAATAATCTCCGACAGAGCTACTTACGACTCAAACACAATTTAGCCGAATTTGTTCGGCTTTCGGGAAAAATCAATTTTGTATATAATATTATGTGTGTTTGTATATATACGAAAATATATACTGTATATACAAAATAATACGTATATGCATACACATCTGCACCTATAGCAACTATATATACGCCGTATACATTATATCGATGTAAACATTCAATAAAGCGTAGCAGTATTTATTTAATTACGCGATGTAATTCACCGTATAAATATTACATAATATGCATTTATGAAAATAGCGAACGTTAAATGTGTTAACGGTTCGCAGAGGTCCCCACCCTTACCGATGTATTGTCTGTAATAGCGATCAGTACGCGCACCGAGCGATTGTTGTGTGTACTATACACGCAAACTCATATAATGCGAGCAAATATATAAGAAAATAATAATCGCGAGAAAAAAATATTATAAAACATGGTATTATTATACGATATCGCGGCAGTAATCCAATGTAAGTGTTGTGAATACTGAGAATAATATTGTTGCTGTGATTACCTCTTAAGATTGTAAGTAGTAGTCATATGGTAAAAAGGGAGAGAGATGAAAAAAAAAGAAGAAAACAAATCGAACCTCTAATTATAGCTAGCGTCACAATTGTCTTGACTCAATGAAGTTTTAATAATTATTCCTTTCGAATGCGAGAACGATCGAGGTTTAGCCTAATCGTTCGTTTAGTGGGTGAAAGGTCATTCATATTACGTTTGCGTGCGAGTGAGATCGAATGGGTGTTTAATGTGTACATGCACAAAATTGAAAATTTGCAAAAAATTATTGTAATAATCGACGTTAAATGAAAAGCAAACATTGGTATTTAAATAAAAGTTATTGGAATTTTCTCAAATAATGTGTACAAATTCATCATTTCCTTTTCCTGATAACTACAAATTTTCAACATTATATAAATATGATCAATAAGGTTTGTCTTATAAATGGTTCTTTATTTCTTATTTCATACATAATTTACATGTATAAAATTTGAACGAAAAGCGTTCTGGATAAGTTTCATTATTTTCTGTAAAGTCATTGAAATAATTTTTTCTTTTTTTAACAAACAAAATATGTATAAAAGACTAAGTTTTAACAGTCAATTTTGTTTGGTAATGACATAATTATAAATGTGTAACATTTTAGTCAATAACTTTTCAGTTCGTGCATGCGTTTTTCCACATAAAACGTTTGCATGCTCAAATCTTTATAATATTTTTTTGGTTTAATAAAAAACAGGAGGATTGTGGAAAGTCTGATATTCGGCTTCATATCTTCGTCTACTGAAGATAGCAGTTCTTTCAGTATATCTGGCAGTATTTGGCGTCGACGGAGGAAAAGGAAGTCTGTTCAAGTTATTGGAATATTGCCTGAAAATTCCAACAATTACAATGAACGCCCAAGATAAGGTGAGTATAATATCTGAAAAATCAAAGAATGAATCATTCAAGTGTACAATGTACATAGTCATTGCTGCGTTAATTTCCAAGTGTATCAAATTATTTTCTTACCATTGCGTTGAAATGGAGGCTGAATCACGGCGTACTTGAAATCATCGTCCGTCGATCGTCTGATACTATTGATCAATATGTATTTAAGATTCGATCCAACATAGTAATCCACGGCTAGGATGGACACGTAAGATCCTAAAATAGTGAAGCACAGGATATTTCCTATGAGCGGCACAACGCTGAACACGAGGAAAGTCATAACGACAAAAGTCGTGAATATAAGCCAGTAATAAGAGTCCATTTCTAGGTACCATGCTCCAGCTGTAAAGAAGGGCATATAATTTTAGTGAAACACAAGTCGGCACAGTTGCGTCATTTACTATCAAAGTTGGCAGCAAGCTTTTTTTCCGCAATCCATTAGTCGAAAGTTGTTTCGTACGCGCATCAGAATGATCGAGAGGAAGAAATTGCATCGTTATCGGGTAAGATCGGCGATATCGTCAAAGGATGAAAGAGCAGCGCATAAATGTACTGCTACACGGCCCTTTTGTAACGGAGTTTCGGTATCTAGATCGATCAAATTTGCCGTAGTAAAAGAAAGGTCGGCGTTGGCTTGGGTCGGATAGGCGCAGTCGAGCCGTGAAGCGTGTAATCCCAATAACTCGGGATATACTAAATAAATACGCGGGGACACAATTAGGTAAATGTGAATTTTCTATGAGTCGCTTAAGGCAAACGAGCTGCGCAGCCTAAATAAAAAGAGAGAGAGAGAGAGAGAGAGAGAGAGAGAGAGAGAGAGAGAAGCGTTCGGGCGCGCAGGGGCTACTATATTCACGACAACTACTCATTACAGTCTTTCCTCGACTGCGCACATACACAGACACATATTTATATACGTGTATGCACGCGAGGGATAAAAGTAGTAGAACTGCTCGGTCTCTCGCGCGCGCGCGAGGGTGGCCGAGGGTACGATGAGCCGACGCCGCCGCCAATGCCACCGTGTGCCGCGACTTTATGGTGAGAAAGGCGGGATAGGCGCGTACTCGCTCGCAATCGAGGGATTCTGAATTTCCGCATGAGCGAGCATCATTGATAGAAACTACGGGGGAGCCGTATACCGCACAATCCGATTCTCTGTCTTTCTCTCTCTCTCTCTCTTTCGCTATACGTGTGTGTATATATGTGCTGTTGCTGCTGCCGCTGCTTCATCCCTTTGCCCAACTTGGCATGCTAACTCTAGCGGGGTTGCGAGAGCGCGCGCGCGATTCTATATCGGCCCCCCCGCATGTTAAGCTGAATTCCATTATTTTTTTATATTTCTACATTTTCTTAAAAAAAAAAAGATAAAAAGCATATTCCACGCTTCTTCGATACAGCTTTGAAAAATGTAATAATAAAAAATCGAACCGAGCAATGGATTACGGAAAGCGTCGTTATCTTTCACCTACCTGGTACAGCGAAGTAAAATATGTAGAAAAAGAACGACCCCAGCGTGACGCCGGTGAGAGTCAACGAAGGAATTGGACTACTCCAAGACATCCATAACAGCAGCCATAAAGAGCTCATCACTATTCCAGTGATCATTCCTATAACGATGATACCTAAACCCAAAGTGGACGTTATAGATGTTACGATTTTCATGTAATACAGATTGGCAGATGTGAAGATTTAACCTACCTGTAAGGTTGAATGTTTCGTAGTATAGACCGATGGTGTAGCCAATATAACCACCGAACAACAGTCCCAAGAGTATCATCGAGGTTTTGAAGAAATTTTGTCCACGCATCGCGACAAATACTCCGATGAAAAACACCAGAGCGCTCAAAACTTTTGTGAATGCATTGGCTGCAACAAGACAAGCGTTTGCTAAATTACAATACCTCGATCGTTTGACATACATAAGAGGAAAATGTTAGTACTTAGATAGGAACAGGAGTTAGCCCAGGAAGAACTGTCACATCCGTAAGTAACGATTGGTACGTAAGCCGAAGAAGCTTCTCCGAAATACGCGACCATACCGTACACCGATCCGGTACCGGGGTAAACACTGTATATCCGCCTCATAGCCGAGTTGAATATCGATCCTGGGATCTATATGTGGATTACAATCAAAGCTCAGTTACCATGATTATGCAAGAAATTTTAGATGGGCTCGCGAGAAATTTATTAATGTTTAATGGATATTAGTCACATGAAAGGTTTTTTTTTCGTTAGTGTAAAAATTTCAAGCATTAATGACAAATGTATTGGAGTGAATTTGATCATGAGTATTTTTTTTCATTCAACTCACAAGGGCGGCATTCTTTTCGATATCCGACACTGTGAGCATATTTGCAATGGATGTAAAGTAAGTAACGTTGCTGAAATCGTGCTCAGGCATGTACATTCTATAGGCATCGTGAGCGATAGGAAACTTTTCACATGACAGTTGGAGACCTCCGACTGGTGGTATGGATGCCGGTTGCGCATCCACAGTTATTGTCTTATCATTAAAGGTAAGCTTTTGAAAAGGAGACTTTTCAACATTGAACTCCATGTTGCAACCACCTGGCTGAGGAGCTAAAGAATTTATTAAAATTTAATAACTTCAGATTATTTTAAAAATTATGCAATATAAATTCAAAAAAATTTTTAAATAGTTTAAACTATTAATTTTATAATGTCAAGCTGCTTAAATAAAATATATAATAATAATTTTATGTTACTTGTTAAATTTTTATTAAAATTGTATACTTGAATACTAAAAAATAAAATTGAATACTAATGTTAAGCTGATTAAATAAAACCTATATAATAATAATTTTATGTTACTTGTTGAATATTTAATAAAATTGAATACTTCCTAAAATATCTCATTTAAAATGAAAATATAAATACTACATTCATGATTGAACATTAAAATTTGGCAAAAATATTTGTACAAGCCATACTTGAAAATATTTAACTTAAAGCATATGTAGTACAATGATTTAAAAATAAAATTGATTAATAGTCAATAGGTATTGTAAATGTCAAAACCTTTCTTACCATCTTTGGTGTAGGCTAAAATAGCTATAAGACTCTCAACACTCTCAGAATTTGTATTTGAAACTCGTACAACTGCATTGGTAGCTGCATTCGTTTCAATTAAAAGTCCAATATTTGAACCATTGACATGATTTCCAGTTAAATGATCACTTACAGCTACGTCATAAGACATGGACACATTGTGCATATATGTATGCACTTGTATAATAACAAAATATACATCACTAGGTATATCGGTAGCTTGAATTTTAAAGTTAGCATTTCCATCAATGGATACTAATTGCAAAAATGCTTCATCATTATCGCTGGAACTGTTATAAGTCTTTAAAGATATAGATGTGATAGTTCCATCTACAAAAATATAATATTCATTATTATTGTTTACATGCTAATCATTCACAATTATTTATAAGTACATTTTTCATAATAACTACAATAACATTTTTGAAATACTCATCATGTTGCTTAACTTTACAAGTTCTTCAGATTCACAACAGATTGTTATGCAAATTAGAACCGACTGTAAACAACTGCGGAGTTTTCAGTATATTTTGAGGTTAACCGACTCACCTGTCACTCGATTCACTGTGGATGGCAATTCGAGAGCTGAAGTACACAAGACTAGTAGTGAAAAAATAAGTAGATTCGCTAATTTACAAGTCTCCATTGTAACGAAAATTTTAGACTGTAATACACATAAAACTTTTATCTCATTCTGTCGATTATTTGTCGTGAGCACACACTTGCGCTCAATATTATACAAAGACTAGAGGGAAGAAAGCAGCAGCAGACTGTTTATTGCGTGATAGTCACCAGTCGCGACTCTCTGCACGATCGCCAATCTGTTTGACGCATGTTGTGCCTATCTCGCGCTACGATGCCGGTTTATAATTATCTACACTCGAGGGCATATGTGTAGCTTCAAGTCAGATATATCGAAGACATTTATTTTTAAGTGATTCGAAATGCTGACCAAAGAGCGGACACGATTTTCGTTTTAATTCAGACGCACATGGCACTTGTTTATTGTGTCCTTCCGGTCATAATAAAAAGGGAAGTCACCGGAGACTTCGAGTATCGACCAACGTATAATGGAATTTGAGTATGGTGTGAATCAAAAATAAACCATTAATATACTTAATCTAATCGTGTGGGAAAATAGATTCTCTCATCGATTTCAATTAAAGAATCGGACAAGGGAATTAGAATTACGTTTGGCATGCATTAAGTCCATTCAAAACCTCGCGTCATCGACCGGGTATTTGGAATAAATCGTGTGCGGTAGCAATCGAATTATACGTTTGGAATATTTACGAAAGAAACAAAGTGAGAAAAAGTCAAGACGATAAGAGCCAGTCAGTCAGTCGCGAGTGGCAGTCGACGATACATATTAGTCATCGCTCGCGTTAGCTGATAATGTCTATAAGAAAAGCCGATTAGCGCCTTGTGCCGTATCGGTGCGCGCGGCAAGTGGCAATGCCAACACACGTACATACACATACATGACATGCGACGTTGTGTATAGGTATAACGTATCAGCGAACCCGCAACAGTCAACCGCAACTAGCTCTCACAAGCAAAGTAATTCATCATTGCTTCAGAGCCCAGTCGACGGCTCTGTGGAAACTCGTTACGAACTTCCCTCTCCGCGGTGTGTGTGGTGCCTGTTGCAGCAGCAGCAGCACAACACGAGGAGCGCGCGCGGACAGCGTCCGAGAAAATAGTTACGATATATAGATATAGGTACGGGCTGCTTTCAGCACAGTGATACGAGCGGCCAGAGTTAGCGGTCCGTATCACCGTACATTACGTATATACATCACCCTCGTCCGCACTACTGCAAGCAAGCCACGAGGTGTACTCAATAATAATAGTCGGCCAGCAACGAGGGCTGTCACCGAGCGTCGTCTGCAAGTTTTTAAATTTAGTGGCGCGCATCGAGCTGCAGGTGGAGCGACGGTCGAGTCCGAGCGCAGCAGCAGCAGGCCTGGCAAGATGTCTCCACTCTCAAAGCCTCGCGACGTATAGTAGTCAACACGCTAGCCAAAGCGGCCGATCAATGAAACGGCCGAGCGCCCGAGCCTCGCCAGCAGTAGCAGCAGCAGCAGTCTACATCTACACATTACGGAGCGAGTGGGGCGCACTTTAGTTCGCGCGCAGACCGCCCGTTCACTGTCCCGTGCAGAGGGGCCTCGATCGCTGGCGCTGCCTCCGTCAGCGAGCGCATATAAACGTATAGTAGTCTGCTCTCGCTTCCAGCAGTATACTACATACATACATACATATATAGTGCACAGCAGCAGCAGCCCAGTGTGTACATATAGTGTACTGGAGTCGTGTGCTGGTGTGTGGGTGTTTCGGGAGCCCGAGTCGTGTGCCAGCCAGTATAAGCTCGTGTGCGTGCGTGTGAATGCGAGCGAGCCAAGCTTGTGTGCGTGCTCGTCGTGCGTATATACGTGCCCCAAAGTGTCGTGTGTGCTACGCGCTGCTAGCTTGTGCTGGCCCGTGGGTAAGTCGCTGCTGCTGTAACCCAGCAGACGGTGTGTGTGCCGTGGTTGTTGTTGTTGTTGTTGTTGTTGAGTGCAGTGTCCAGAAGGGTCCCGCGGCCCGGCTGAATGGGCCATGGGCAAGGACCAGGAGCTGCTCGAGGCGGCCAGGAACGGCAACGTAGCCGTCGTCGATAAGATCCTGGGACAACGTGCGAAGAGGAGTGGTCCCCTTGCAAGGTGGGTGTGCTTTAATATTCAGCTACTACTGCTATACATTGTATTACCATCCTCATACGCGTTTCGTTGCTCTCCTTCATTCTTTCGTCGCGTTTTGCTCGAGACCTCTGCCGATCCCTTTAAAAAAGAAAGGACGAGCAGAACGACGTCGTAAAAACGCAGAGCCTCGAGAGGATGACACTTGCCCCTCGTGTCAAGCTGTCAAACAGCGGGTGGTTATAACCTCGCTCAGCTGTCGAATTATCATCGCCTTTATCGCTCGGGGTCTAGCTCCTACCCATATATGGAATAGGACGTCTAGAATATATCGCATACGCGTTACGGTGTGTGGGTGCCATGTACCCATCCTTGACGCGCGTGCACTATAGGTATATGTATATATGTCTACGAGAGCCACCTAACCTACGGAGAGTTTCGTTTACGAGCGTAGGTGCGGGCGTCCGTATGCATGTTTATGTGGCTGCATGGGTGTGTGGGTGTCTTTCACTGGATGCGCACACCCATACCTGCACGGAGCACGGGAGAGCGTACGCTCGCGCCTGTAGTACGCGCGGTTGTACTACTATATGCGCCGCGTAAAGCTGTACACACAGCACTCGAGTCTCGAGCAGCAGCAGCAGTGTGAAAGTTTTTTTTTTATTATCGCGCAGCTCCGTAACACAGAGAGAAAGATTCGTCGTCGGACTGTGGCGACTCCGAAGGATATGCCCTCGCTTTCGCAAAAGCCGCGAAATTATCACGAGCTCGAGACGTGCCTGCCTGCCCGGCCGAGGCCTTTTGAATATATAATAATAATACGCGCAAGAATTCGATTGCGGCTGCTGTTGCATTTAGGTTAAATAAGAAGCAGCAAGTCGTGTGTATCGGCGCTCGAATATGTGTTTCACGAGTAACAGAGAAAGAGAGAGAGACGTGCGTTATCGTGGCCAGGCGCTTTATACGCCCCTAAATACGCCGCCGCTGATGCGGCTTTTGTCGTCGTACATACACACACATACACATAGGCCAGCAGCAGCAGTCGACCTTTTGTTTTTCACGTTCTCGTTGAGTCGCTGCTCCAATTTCTGTGCGTGACGTCTCTCGACCGCTCACCACCGCACCACAGTATGTGGACAGATTTCCCCTATATAAATTATATTGTATATTGTACACAAAGATCATTGACATTCCTTCGGGCTTCCGATACACGCAACTCTCGGCATCGGTTTCTCGATTGTCATTTAAATGAAAAAAAAAATACAAGCTCGCCTGCAGCGCATTAGACATTATCGGTCAATTACTTATTCGAGAGATCACGTTGTATCTCTCGTCGCGCATAGTCAGCCGTCAACACTCGTATGACACTCTCCACCGCCACACACACACATGTTCTTTGTCATGTTGCGTTCATCTGCTGCCGCTCCGGCCAGTACAGGCGTTACTTTAATAATGTGTTCGATGATTCATCGACGCCGAAGCTCTCGCGTGGCGAGCGTGCTCGCGACTACTTAAAACACGTACGCACGGCTTTATCTATTCTTTAATAGGCCTTATGTACGACTTTTAAATCTCCATCTGTGTACATTATGCGGGTTTCTCCTTACCACACATGTGAATGGCGCAAGCGATTCTCCCATAATTGCGACCAAGTGAGAAAAGGTTATCAGGCTTAATTACACACGAAGAAGGTGCCAGAGTAATTATAAAGTCATAGAATGGAATTATCATAATTCGATTCTTGTCAACAAGTGTATTTAAACCGTGTAATAGGATATGCCTGAACGGCGCCTGGAAAGCTCTTTATCTAATCTCGTATGTACGATCGAAACATTCGACGGAGAGCTGGCCAAGTGCGCTGCCGGATATATATAATATCGACGTAATGTATATAGGAATGGATGCTGCGCGCAGCGCACAGCGCGTGTCCTACTTTTGCGAGCAAGGCTCGGCTACAACTACTACCTATATACATACTGTGTATGGGCGAGCGGCGTGGAGCAAGCACATTGCCGAAAGATAAATATAACAAGCCCGTGAGCAGGCGCGCGCGCGAGCGCACGACGACAAACGCGCAGCTTGCAGAGGAAAAGACGACGACGACGACGACGACGACGACGACGATCATCGCGCCGCCCGGCGTGTGCGCGAGGATGTGCTTTGGCCAGGTCCCATTTTCCGCTGTGCTCTTTGCGTATATGGTATACCTATATAGTACGATGCTGCCGGTGAAACGAGGTTAATGCAGCGCGTACACAAACGCGCGTACATATTTTAGCCGGATATCGGGGTCGAGCTGCTGCTGCTGCTTCTACTGCCAGTTGCGCTTCACTGGGTCAACGCCGCCGCCGACGACGACGACGTACGTCTATACGTAACTCGTACGCATCTATAGAGTAGTGTGCACTAGCCTGCACCACTGCTGCATCTGTGTATGTGTGTATGTGCAGCTTCCAGCGCGCTGCTTTTTCTTGCGCCAGCCAACCCACTGAGCCATATATATATATATTTGTACGTATACGCGGGCGCATGTTCACGAAATTCCATCGTCGTAATCGCAAGCCGCTTGCGCGATCGATCCGCCGGTGTTGAAGTGTAGCTAGTATGTTGTAGTAGTAGTAGTACGTGCAGCACGTAAAGTTCCCCCCTTTTCGATTGTCGTCCTCTCGAGTCTCTCTCTCTCTCTCGCTCCTTAAGGCGTAAACAGCCTCTTGTACTACTACTCGCTACTTCGAGTCAACCTGACTCTCGCCCAATGCACCTCGCACGCGCTCCCGTTTTCCTCCCTACATGCACGCGGGAATATATTACTATATGTATAATACGTACTCCGCAGCTTTACCTCGCAGCTCGTACAGAACTTACACATTTTTCACTTACGACTCCGCAACTTTTTCATTTTCTAATTCCAACAACGCGAGCTGCGGGCGTGTTATGTACCACACTGCCATGCACACACGTATCTCATATTAGACTCGTGAGCTACTTTTTTTTTTCACCGAGACTCGCTGACACGTTTTCACGCTTGCGGCTGGAATTCGCTAACTGTCACGCATCTGTCGTTAAGCCGCTAACTCGAGCTCGCTGAATGAACATACTTTTTTTCGACAATTATTGGACTAGTTTTCATGTTCTTTATGCTCGCGCCCAGAACTCATTTTTCACTTTTCCATCTAAATGGCACACGTGTTTTGCTTTCATCCCAGTTGCTCTCAATTTCTCATTAATTCGAGGACATCTTTTTCTGCGCTAATTATTCGAATCGTTTGAAATGCCATAAATGAAAATTGGGACCGATGAAACTTGATAATTACGATTTCACTTTGTTGCTTAATAAAAAAAGAAGGATAATGATAATAATAATAGTAAATGTTTGATCGGATAAAAAATTACACATAATAATTATACTTACATTCAATCAAATAATTTTAAAAATCATCAAAATTCATTTTCGTACGTCAAACATTACTTCATCAATGTAAAATTCACAAATTAATAAATTTAAAGTGATAAAAAATCTTGATATGACACTCGAGTACGTTATTTTCCAACAGACACGAGTATCTTCGTACATTAAATGTGATAAATTTGACCTCTACGTACAAGTATTGAAGCGCAGGTATACGTCGAATGCTTTGAATATTTTTACAATGACATTTTTCGTTTATCTATTCTATTATAAAATGTGCAGTATTTCTTAATTCTGTCACATACTAGTATAAAAAATAGTTATCATAAGTACAATATAATAGTTACAAATATTAATTTTAATCAATATTGAGTAATATATAAGTATAGTCGATGATGTCATGCTAATGACCCTCAACCTTTTGTTTTAGTTTTTACTTTGTCATCCTTTTATAGACAAATTTTTGACCGTTAATTTTGCCTCATTGACCCAATCACCTTATTCATTGTACCTCTCGAGGTCTTTTTTATGAAAGATTACCTATTCAAGCATCAGAAAATTTATTCCACTTGAAAAAATGTGTCAAGAATTTCCAATATCAGTTAAATCAAAAATTTGAAATGTGTGTTTGAGCTATACTTAATAATCAATTAGGGATTTGAAATTTAGGACTTGAAAAAAGCTTTGGCATTCAAGTATAATAAAATTAAGGTAATTTTTTAAAATATCATTAGAGTAATCTGTTTCATTAAACCCTAATAGCTATAGGTGCGAAAGTTAATAAAGATTACCTTCAAAGAAGACATTAAAAATTGCTTTATTTATAATAAATAAAGATAATTTTAATTTCTTTGTTGAATTTGCTGTGCTATGACATATACAATTATTTTTACCTTGCCACTTGCAGATTTACAAATAAAAGTACTCGCCATCTGGTGGTGAAGATTTAGACTGTTGTTATCGTATTTAAAGTAGTTTAAAATTGGTTTTTTGAAACTCAAATTTTTTAAATGATTAAATTATCATTTTCAGGTCATTTAAAATGCGCTGAATAACTTTAATATGATTGTAATGGAAAAATTGTCAACAATAAGCCAATTAATGCTTAAGAATTTAAAAAAAATTTAAATGATCTTTTTTAGTCATAAATGAAAATTTCTATCACAGTCCTCTTTACTTGCTTTGAAAGTTGATTTCTCATAAATTGTTAACGTAAAAAATTACGTAAAAGCTTTGTACCTGAAAATTTCTTAAACTAGTTTCTTAAACTAGGTTCTCAAACTATATTTTTAGAAGTTTATTCAATTATACGCCAATGAAACTTTTCTTGCGCATTATTTCTAACAAATAATAGTTAATTTACAATGACTTGCAATCAGGAGTTCATTCAATCTGCGTGGTATGTTTATGAACATGAATGATAATAAAACAAAAGTATCATTTTTCCGAAAAAATTAAAATTACTTACTTGGATGAATGCCAATAATGAATCAAATAATCTGATTGGAAAAAAACATAGTATTACTGAAAAAATAAAAAACGGGTCAGTAAAATGAAAAAAAAAGTTTCAATATCAATGTAAATACTATGAGCATATAAATATCACAAATAACAAACGAGCTTGCGATGCAATTAATATTTAAAAAAAATGTAATCGACTTAAAAGACTTGCACTTATTGCGCTTGAACAGCGTGGCACTTCGTTAAAGCTCGATCAAATAATAAAAGAGAGAGAGGGGGTGGGTGGAGGAAAGGGGGGAAGCGAGAGAAGGCGATAATCTGTGCAGTTTCAGCGTTGCAAGCGAGTGAGTTCGTTAAAAAGAGCCACGCAGCAAGGGAGCCGATCGTTCGCAGGTGGGTGCGTAAGCGTGTGCAGTATAGCAATAGAGCTTCGCAGCAGCACAGGAGCACTGACATGAAGGAGGTGCCTAAATTAAGTGCAAACTAACAATCGCAAAAGCGCCGCGCGCACAAGGCGCGCGTATATGCGAGAGAGAGAAGCGTATGTGCCATGACCCCCGGCGTATGCTCAGAGGCGCGTAAAGATAATTGGACCAGCCATGGCTCGCTCAGGCCACGGCTAGCACAATAACGCAAAGGTATATAGAGCTCTGAGCAGAGCATAGGTGTCCTATCGCCGTGCACGTAGACGAGTGAGAGAGAAAGAGAGAGAACAGCAAGACTGAAGCGACGAGCTCATGTGTGTGCGCGAATGTGTATACATACATCGGAGATTCGCGTGCATATTTAGAGCTCGCAACGTATACAAACACACAATTATTCGAGTCCAACGGCTATAAGAACGTCTCTTAGCAGCCTGTAATTTATTTGTCTTTGCGACAACAGCCCCGCGCCAACATTCAGCCCTTAATTAAGTGGCACTAGAGGTGCATATAGAAACACTCGCATTCTCTCTGTCTCTCTTTCTCTTTTTTGTTCCGAGAGAAAACGCGCTCCAACGGTTAAGAAAAGTATGTTAACTTTAGGGGACGTTCGTGGATTCGCTCGTAACGAGCACAATATGTTTAGTTGGCAAGTAACTTCATCTGTACTTGTTTTTTGATTTTGCTGCTATACGTACACGTGTAAATTATTATGCCCCAATACTTAACTATTACTTCAATTTTGTTTTCCCCCCAATAAAGTGTTGATTTCAAACCTCAAGGTTTTTCCGTTGCATTGAATCTTAATTTACCTGAATCAAACTTGAAATAAGTTTTTAAATGTAAACTTATTTGATTAAAAAGTGATCCATTAGTTTTATACCCTGAGACTAATAGTTTAAAATGAATGAGATGAATAATTATGCTCTAGTGCTCATATTTCATAATGTTATTCTTCACCTTGATTTCAGTTCCCGATTTCAAAATGAATTTTCAAAAAATTAACTTTATTAGGGGGTAGATTAAAGATGCTACAAAAAAGAAAGACTACGAGAATGAATTATTGGTAGGAGAAATATAGAGGCACTTTTGCTCAGAAGTTGCACGAAGAAGTTTTGATTAGAGACTTTTTTTGTATGAACAGACGAAGTAATACTGCTGAAGTTTCATGATTAATAAGATATATAGTGCACACATCAAAATAATTAGTTCCACCAATACTTTTATTACAAGAATAAACTACATGACATTTTTGTTTATACAAGATTTATTTAAATTCATACGCAGGTTAATATAAAGTTCATTTTTGTTTACCATTATAGAAAAATCATTGTTCAGTTTTAAAATATTCATTATCATTCTGTACTTTAAATACTGCGGCATTAGTCATTGCAAAATATTCTTTTTTTAGTATTGATGATTCACAGTCTCTTGAATGAAGTTATTGTGTTGCTTATATTATTTTATTGCTACAATTAGTATGTTTTTTGATCGTAAGTTACTTCAATCATTCAATACTTTTTCCGATCAAAATGAATCATAAGCCAACAAAAAAGTTCGCAATACCACTCTAGTTATTTCTTCATTTTTATCATATAGACAAGCAGTTATCCAACACACAATTTTTCTAACACAATTCTAATAAATTTGTAATAGAATTGTATTACAAAATCATCGAATATAGAAAATATCCTGTCGATACGCCAAAAAAAAACTTGTAACGAAATCGAATAATGGCATAGAAAAACAACACAGAAAAGCTGCGAGTACATATGCATAAAAGTAGCAGCGGCACTAAAGCAGAGTGCGCCACGTGTCTGTACCTCTCGAATAAATTCGTATTCATCGTTATTCGAAATTGCGTGAGCGACTGATGCATTGCGCTACAAGTATACGGCTTATACTTTGATTTTTGATGTTTCCCTACAATAGATCACAGGAAAGCCGACCCGACGACGCCAAGGGGAAAAACGCAAGGGCTGCGCTCGAAATCGAATTAATATACGATTCTACGATTGACGACTAACACGACACGCGACACAAGTGCTCCTTTATTATACATTTCGATGACGTTTTGTACTTTTTTCTATAACATCTTTTCTCACGTCTCTTGCCTACCTCGTTGCGGCCTCGTTTCGCTTATTTTCTTTTGCAACTTGCATCAACAATAGTACAGCCTTTTTAACGACTTTTAAAAATCAAGTACAGGTGTTGTATACGCTAGTTCTTACTTATAAATATTTCTTTGATGATAATTGTGATCTTGGCTTTAGTTCTTTACATTGCATCATCGGATTTGTTTATATAGTAGCCTATAATTTAATAGCTTGAATCATTTTAGTCATAACTATTGCAACTTTTTTTATTTCTTGCTGAGTTGATGATAATCGATGATAAATATTACGTTTATTGTGCTAGATTAGTTTGGTTTTGTGTACCCATGTAATATATCAATGTGCCAGTCACGTTTTAATGACATATTCGTCATAAGTTGCTGTCACCAAAGTTAAGTCTAGGGAGCAGTTTATGTGTACAAATAGGGGGAGTCTATCGAGTAAAGGAAGGGTCGTTTCTATTTGAAAAGGTTATATAAGTTTAGGACAAATATAGATCTTGGTAATAATAGTACCGTATGACATCTAATATTCTTCAGAAGAAGAAAAACAAACTTTGGTTTGAATGAAACATACTTCAATTTTGCTTTTACTATCGTAATGCAGATATGAAAAATGGTTTAATCATAAATAAATATTGAAAAGTGATATTTATCAACTTTAACGAAGATTCAATCAAAATTGATAATTCGCGATGCAAATCTTTATTATATTTATTTGGAAATTTTTTTGAAATAACCATTTTCATAATGTATACATTATACATTAGCACTATTACACCATCAATGGAGAAAAATGGTCATAGCAAATATTATTACGTTGTACTGTTGACAATTTTTACTATGTTGGGTGGATTATCCACGGCATATGACTCAATTGGCACACGTTGCAACTGCAAGATTACTAATAAGATTTTCTAGTTCAATAGCGAAGTTCGTCAACAATCATGACGATTGCAAGGGGTGCTACTTTGTAGACGTGATGCGTATAAACGCGGGTACACGAAAAAGAGAGAGAGCGAGGTAGGGCATCGGAAGTCGTGGACAAATACGGATGTAGATTATATACAGCGCAGAAGCTTGCATCATCCCGCGGGAGTTGACTGGGCACGAGATGTAGATATAGCAGAGTGACAATAGAACGAAACAACAAGAACATGTGTCGAGCGGAATATCGGCTATTGCCGCGGATAGCTTCGTTAGCGAAGCTCGCTAAACAAACGAAAAGCGAGCCTGCCATATTTTGTACCCTCTCCCTACAGTTTATGTATTTGTGCATTCATACATTCATATTAATACCCTTAACTTTTAGTGCAGAGAAATATCTCTCAATAATTAAATTATAAAGCACTCTAGTGGGCTGCAATTTTGATAATAAAAACGTATTGTAATTGATTTGCAAAAAAAATATTTAAAAACAAATGGACACATTTTTTCCTTTTCCTTTATAATGCTCAATTTAAATATTATTTTATTCAAAATACATATAATACAATAATACAATAATGTAAAAGTAGTTAGAAAAAACTAATGGTAACATTCCCTAAATAGAGGAATTTTTCGTTACAGTTTACGCAGAGGTCCTGGTGCTAATGTACAAGATTCTAGTGGTTATTCGGCGCTTCATCATGCAGCTCTTAACGGTCACAGGTAAAAATTAAATTTCAGCGCAGTCAAAGAATTGACTCAACTGGAGGATTATTTACAAACGAAATTACATTAAATTTTCTTTTAAATTAGATTCATTAAAATTTCAAAGTTTTTGCTTTCTTGTGTCACTTATAAATTATACAATGAAATTTTTCTCTTCAATTCCTTTCAATATTTAATAACTCGTGAATTTTAAACCGACATTTAACCATTCTAATTATCTCATGATATATCCAGGGAAGTGGTGAAGTTGCTTTTGCAATACGAAGCATCGACCAATATAGTCGATTCGAAGGGCTCGTCTCCGCTTCATTTAGCAGCATGGTCCGGCAACTCGGAAATAGTGAAATTAATTCTGACTCAAGGACCATCAGTGCCAAATGTCAACCTACTGGTAAATATAATTTCTCTATCTAAGAGCCCCGGAATCCGGCGGCTCCCTTTATTGTACAAACCCTGAACTCGACGGAAATTCTAATTATTTGTCTTAGACCAAGGATACGGAGTCGCCATTGCATTGCGCTGCACAGTACGGACACACAGAAGTCGTAGGCCAATTGTTACAGGCAGGATGCGATCCTAGTATCCGCAACAGCCGAGGGGAATCGGCGCTGGATTTAGCTGCTCAGTATGGCAGGTAAATTACGCAAAGCTCATCTTATTAATTTTCAATCAATAAAATAATAAAAGAACAATGCAATGAAACGTTAATATCTCTTGCAGGTTGGAAACAGTCGAGTTGTTGGTACGAGCTCATCCTGAATTAATTCAGTCTCTGCGAAGTTCCTCATCTTCATTGATCTTCCCTCACACACCTTTACATTTAGCATCACGCAATGGGCACCGGTAAGAATTATTTATTTTTTTATTAAAATTTTCACATGCCTAAGTGATTAAGACTAAAAACAAATCTTGGAAGTATTAGAAAGTATTTATTAGTATGAAGAACTAATTTAGATTGAGATTTAAGGAATTAAATATTGACTCGTGCGAGCTGTCATATAATTTTGACTGTTTTATTGAATAATTCGATAAGGTTGATTGAATGATTGAATAATTTTCACTTCACGCGTTCATGTCAAGAAGCTATCTAGATGAGCGTACATAATATGCTTGTATTAATGTACATAAAATGCATAAATTTACGCCGTTACCGTTATTCAATAGAAATAGCTTCAATAATTATTAAATTTATCATTGATAAATAATGCATTAATTAAATTTCGGTAAACAATCCATAAAATAAGAATAGAATTTCTCGTTGCGACAACTTGCAAGCTCAATACATGAATGTGAAAGATAAAAGGCAAGATATATTGGAACTAGCTATATAATTGCAAACGATGTCGAACTAAGATTGTCAAGATCAAGTTGTTGAGCTATATAGCTCGCTGTTACAAAACTTGTATACGTCCGGTAAAGAAAGCTCGGTTGGTTTCATCTCTGCTTGCGAAACTGGCCATCGGTACATCATACGTTTGCCACATCCAGAATAGGCATATAGATAGCAAGCGCAACCAAATCAGTAGCAGCAGTCGTCGAGCTAGCCCGGTGTAAAGCTCTGACTTTCGGAGAATGTGTCGCGCGCAAACAAACGCCATAGTAGTAACAAACGTACAGAGAGAGAGAGAGAGAGCCGCTATATCTGCGCCTGGGATCGTTGGCCAACGCGAACACACAAATAGATAGATAGATGGATGCGATAGATACAGACAGATAGATAAATGGAGGAAGCAAGGAAATAGACACAGATAAACCAGCAAGCGAGACGCGAGGGAGGGTAAGAGGAGGCGCGGGCAGAGGAGAGGAGAATATACATGTGGAATCAGAGCCGGAGGATAAAGCGCCGGATGAGAGTCAATCCGTAAGCTCGTTGCGTAATCACGACGGTTCAATATTACGAAGGTAGACACGAACTGCGTGTCGATATATATGCTCGCGCGTGCACGTGTGTGTGTGTGTGTGTGTATGTGGCATCACTATAGTAGTTCAGTCGTTGGGCTCTATGATGCTTGCATCGGCCCCGATGAGTTCATCCTCTGGCCTCTTCGCCAATCCTCGTTCGCGCGCGAATCGCCCGCACACAGCTCTCGCTCTCTCTGTGCTTGCCGTTGTTGCAGCTCGTGCCGTCCGCTCTGCCTATAGCAGAGATCGCATTAGCTCACGAATCTACATGCGAATCCCGAGGTAGAGGGAGAGATCACCAAACCGGGATCACACACCTCCGCATGCAACCCACTATCTCTCTCGCTCTCTGTTGTATATATGCATATAGCTCGGCGTTGATCGTACATGGAATACCGCCTGCTGCCACTGTCAATGGTGGTGGTGGTGGTGGTGGTGGTGCTACTGGTTAGCTTTGGATTTTCGACTGGAGCGTTCGGCTTGTGACATACCAGACACTCGCTACTCTCCATATATATGTATTTCTCTCGTGACGCGGGGCTGCCCAAAGTCCATATATACACCAACACGTTCCCAACCCTCGATACATATTTCTTCAATGTATATATCCATGCACCAACGTGTGCATATACTTCATTAAGCGCTCGCTTGGTACACACTCTCCACTCCACTTCTCTATTATTGCTTCTGCGTTTCGGATTCAATATTTGATGAGATTTCATCATTGAAGCTCTTCGTCTACACTGGTTTATGTAAATTTCAGCTTAATTTTGTCTTGTTTTTTTTTGTTTTTGAGCTATTGGTCACTCGAACCAACATCGAATTAACCATCGGCTAAGTTTAAATTCTATCATCGATACACCTGTACTATAGGAAATTTCGATCTACATAGGTCCTAAGAATTTTTGAAAAGCGCGACAGGGCTGCATTATATTGGCATGGGGAAACTTAGTTCCGAGTGTACGAGCAAAAGTGGAAAGCCGCGTGCAAATGGCAAATCCGCTCATCGAATATAATATCGGGGCCTATCGCGCTTACAGAATCGACAGCGAATCTACGAAGCTTCCGCAACTATTACAGAGAGCAACAGAGAAAAGGTCGCGCGGGCGGGGGCGAAAGAGAGCTAGCTGCTGCGGAGCGAGGGCGCGAGTCCAGCTCGATGGTGCGTGGCACTTAACATCGCGGTGATGGACCGTGCGCGCCATATACACAGCAGCAGCACTATATGTGTATACACAGAGCATTGGTAATCCGGCTGGTAAGCCTTTAAAATAATCTGCCTGTGTATAAACGCGTATACAACGCGTACAGCATGCAGAGCGGCAGCACAGCCGAGGCGAGCATCGCGCGTGTATTGTGTGTGGGTGTGTGTATAGGCGCAGAGTCCAGCTCTCGTATATACGAGAGAGAATCGAAATGTAATCGGGCATCGCATGACGGCCATTTTTTTGCCGGCCGGTCAACGGTGCCGGCAACGAGGTATATAGAATCAGCAGTAGCGGCACTGCCCAACTGCAGCGGCGTCGGCTGTTAATCGCTTTAACGACGCTTCGCTTATAATGCGATCGTTTCCACCGGTGCTTCGTTGCGCGCTTTGCCAGGCTATAGCTAGAGCCAGGCTCTCTCTCGCTCGACCGTTTTCGTTCCACGGGATACAACTCGTATGATAGTTACAACAGATTTCATCCCTGCCCTGCTCTGGCAGGGGGATATACTTTTGCTTCCGCAAATTCCAAATTCGAAAATACGAAACTGCGACGCGCAGTGCTGCAGGTTCGCGTGCAGAGCCTGCTGCAGCGTTGCTGCTGCTGTCGATCGCTTTACCGCACGGCTCAATGATCCACCGCCAACCGCAGCAGCTGACACTTTATTACCGAGAATTTCCGATCGCGTTCGGATGAGCCTTTTAATAGCTCCCGCGAAATTCAATTTATGAATCGATTTTCCAATTGCCAGCGCCGATTTAGAACGTAGAAACTATAATACTATGGAATATGCTAATCGATAATACGCATGTGTAATGAAACCGATTTCCACGATTTTTGCAGTGCCTGCGTGGAGGTGCTACTCGACGCGGGGGTGGACGTCAACACGCGGACATCGGCGGGCACGGCGCTGCACGAGGCCGCCCTGTGCGGCAAGGTCGAAGTCGTGCGGACGCTGCTGGACCGCGGCGTCGACCTCAACATCAAGGACTCCCGGCGCAACACGGTGCTCGATTTACTCAGCCAATTCCCGGCTCACGTTACGCAGGACATAACGGCTGTTATCAAACGTAAGTTTTTTTTTATACATATTAACACAAAGCTCAAGCATTTTAGGATTATTAAATAGCGAGTTCAAAACCTGATGGCTTCTTTTTTCAACCACCAATAGGTTACCGTTTATCTTCTGGAATTGAATGCGACGGAGACAGCGAGAATCTGCCGCCGATACCGGTTCAGCGCAATGAATCAGTCAGCAGTCCGTACGAGAACGTGCGGCCGGGCGACGATTATTCCCCGGCGGAAGGATCATCGCCCACGAGGTGGCCGGCCTACCACAAGCCTCGAGATTTGTAAGTTCGCCTCTGGCATTTTTGACTAATTCTTTTTTTATTATTATTCTACCTTGATCTACGAAACTAAACATTTGCCATTATTGCTTTTTGGCGTCATTTTTCTTGATTAAAAAAAGAAAACATCTCAATCGTATTCAACTCATTACTAATATCTTCATGTAATCACTTTGTCGTACATGTATCACGCATCAACTCATTCTTCAAACGTTCCACAATACATATCATCATAATGACTGCATTATACTCACGCTTATAAATTGTTATTGTAAATTGATTATTCAAATTTTTTACTGTCTTGCTTATAATCGTAATCATTCATTGCTTTTATATACATAACAAAATGAGCATGCCAGTCAATATATTTCACTCCACAGTATAAACCAGCAAGCGAATCAAGAAAATCATTCATTCGTTCCATTAAAAATAATCATGTATTGAAACAAAAACCCTCCATCGGATCTTTTTCTACCAAAATTGCCTCTAACCCTGCAAACAAGTTCTGCAACTTCGTATGCGTAATAATAATTAATTAACTGCGATCAATTTAAGTACTACCGGCCACGAAGCAGCGCGCGAACCAGAGAAATGACTGCACGTACGCAGAGCGTTTTTGCTTCTCGAATGCCGCGCGCGAGGGGAATATACCCAGTGCGCGCGTGGGTGGCGCGGACATTTGGTTTAGAAAAGGAGGAACGAGTCGAGTCGGTTCATCCTGCAGCGATGAGCATCGGGCACACACATTCATTTTTAGGAGCCTATATAGCGTGCGCGCAGGAGAAAAAGAGAGCATTTTATGCTCTACACGTATATACAGATGTATGTATGTGTCTATGCTCGACCCTCAGCGATTTTAATCTCAATCTTTCTCCGGGAGCAGGAGCTTTTCCCTAGCAGAGCAGAGTTCTCCGCCACCGCTGCCATTACGCGCACGCTGTGGAGTCAGCTCGAGCGTACACGTTGCCGCGTCGCTGAGCTTGCTGCCTTCTCTCGTTCTCTCTCTCTCTCTCTCTCTCTTTCTCTTGTACTCTTCTCTCTTTTCATAGATATATACGTACGAGTGTTGTATGCGCTCTTTCTGTCTGTCTCTCTCTCTTGCGCGCAGTCGGCAGCCGTAGGTAGTAGTGGGTAGCTTGCGTCGTCCCAACGACAGCAACCGTTCGTCTTTTTTCGAAAAAAGCAGCTACCCGAGAGAGAGAGTGTATAAGTGTACGTATACGTACATAGTCGACCACCGCCGTAGAAAAGAGAGAAAGCGAGGAAAATTCGCTTTCCGCACTCAGCACCGCGCGCGCGCTCACCTTCGTGTGTGTGTGTGCTACTCGCTCGTCGTCGTCGTCGTATACGCTTGGGCCGCCACCGCAACCCATGCTGCGTGCTGGCTGGTAATATTTTACACGACTTTCGCGAATCCGTACAGAACTCGTTACTCTTTGTGTGCAAATATGCATCTGCCCTCATTAAAATCATTTTTTATCTTCGCAGACTCCGCGCGCGCTCGCTATTTTTCAGCAATGAGAATGTAACTGTTCTCGCTCTCTCTCTTCTCAACCCCCTGCTCGAGTCCAGGAGCATTTTTTATACGCGCTAGCATTCTAAAAAGTCATCAAGCAGACATGATTTCTGTATACAGTTCTTCGAGCAGGTGCCGAGTTCACGCGCACAAATTAAAATGAAACTTCCGTTTTAGACCTCAGCTTTTTTTCACGAGTAGTAACATCCCCTTAATTTCGTTATGAGGACATGAAGCGCCAACTTAAACGATCGCTAAATTTGTAAAAGTTTTTTTTTTCTTATACGAAAAACTTTACCGAATACATCGATAAAATTATAGAGTCGAAAGTTTTTTCTAACTTGAAATAGTCTGCAATATTTAAAGAATTTTTCTGACTAGCAAGTGTAACGAGCAGTAAAAGATGACGAATATGATGCAAATATGTGCGTAAAAGAAAATTTAAAAACTAAAGTGTTTGAATAATACGTCAGAGCGTTTAATAGATTAGTTCTTTCTTCTTCTTTTCCACGCGCGTCCAGCGGACTTGACGTTTCAATAGAAAACTGCTAATGGTATTTTATTGACTGGCTTCGTGACTTCTATTTGTTTAATAATAATATTTATTGAGCTAAAACTACGATTTAAATACCGATGACTACATAGCGTGGCTTTGAAAATACATGTGATGAGTGCAAATATGCGCTCGAATCGTATGAACAAACTAAAACTCGCTTATCGAGTAAAATTAAATCGATACTCCATCGACGTCCTCAATTGAATTTCGTTCTACAATTGTCGTTCGTATCCTTCATGGTTGTAAGATTTTTAATTCGAGTCAAGTCGAGCGCTCGTCTACTAATAAAAAAAACAACAACGTTTTACACTCGAAAACAAATGACACGTGCTCGTTGCATCACGTCATCGCATCAAACAATTCATGAATTATTGTATTAGCGAAAAGAATAGCAATTGTTTCACGCAAGGCAAACCACGAGCTTGCACGCTGCTTTTTTGATCACATCTAGTCGTCATCAGTCGCCAGTATCAGCAGCAGCAAACAGCAGCGCGATATTGTAATACATCCAGTTGTTATACATGCGAGCGAGTAGAGGCAGAAATCAAGCGACATATCATGGCCCAAACCAAAAAAAAAAAAACAGAAAAAAAATAAATGTTAGCGATGCCTATAATCGAGTATAAATGAATTGGACGTTTCAGTGAGGAGGACGATTATTACGGCGAAACGTTGGACGTCGGGGCATGGCAATACCTCAGTAGTCGCCAGCGCACCGAGGACGGCTCCGATCTCAGCTCCGTCTTTGACAGTGTTCTTATGTCCATGTCCGACACATTGAATTCGATTAATACCCTTGCATCAGATCAAACACCCGAAGACAGACCATCATATAACACTAATTTGATCACAACACCGTCACGAGACACTCTACGGTATGCTCAGTACCGAAAGTGCATGCGACTTGGTTATTTTTTTTTTCAATTTTTTTTTTGGTTTCTCTGTGTTCTTTAGCCATCTTTACGCTCATTTCATTCAACTATACTCTTCCTTCTCTCATTTCCCTCTCATTAACCAAACAAACTCTATCATTACAAATTATACTTTAAGTAGAATAGTTGGGTTTTTATAAAAATATGAATTATAATTTGTTACCTTTTGTAAAGTTGAAATAAAGTTTCTTGTTTTTTAAGAATTTGGTAGTTGTGAATGAATAAATTATTAGAGTATACTTTGAAGCAAAATTGTAGTAAATGTATAATAGTTTTGAAACTTGCATACAGTACCTTTTGAACTCTACAAATTTTTTAAACAAGAGCAAAGGTAAGTTACGAAGCGCGTATACGAGTACAAAGAGTAAAGGAACAGATAGATCGCTGAACAAGCGTTGTTCGATATAGTCTTTAATTAGATCGTAAGTCTGCGACGTGCTACGAAGGCTACGCAAGGCCATTACCGAAGCCTATAAATAATTGTCTCAACTCGATCGTATCGATTCTCTCTGTAGGAATTCGGATAGCGGCCTGTACCAGACTCCACCGGCCCCGAGAGCCCTGACGGACACGACGAGCGCCGGCTACGCCTCGGAGGATCAGCTGTCGATGACGTTGCCGGGCAGCGGATACTACGGCTACTCCGCCGCGTCTCGCGAGTCCGATCAACTGAGCGTCTCCTCGTCGTCGAGCTTCGGTGGACCGAGCCCGCGGGAACGACGCTGCGTGCCCACCAGCGCCACCGGCATTTACCTGCCGATGGCTCCGCTCAGCAGCAGTCAAGCGACGAGCAACAAAATATCGGTGAGTTTATATGATTCTGTACACGATTAGCTGCTTAAATTATCATTTTTACCTCGTTTTTCTCTACTCGCATTTATAAACTGGGCGTGTATAATACGAATCTGCATTCGTTGCGCACGCAATGATTAATAAATCATAAACTGGGTGACGGACCAAGCGCGAGACCGAGCACAAAATCAGTACCGAAACGAAGTAAAATTGGACGACAGCAGTTTGTTTACAGCGCGACAACGGAATAATTGTATTTGTAATATTTGCATTGGATTATTTGTTATTTAAAGCAGGCTTCAATTACTCTCTTTTCCATATTACTACGGCTCAAATCGTTTGAATTTATCAATTATTATTCGCGCATCACATATGTATGACGAGAGAGAGAATATCATTAATATTTAAATGTGATGAAAATGCGCGCGTATTCTTTTCCAAAAAGGCGCTTGGATAGAGAGTTTCATTATGCATACGCTGATAAACAATTATTGGATTATTTAAGAGAGCTTGTTTGAGCGTCCAATACGTTAAATTAAATATGTAATAATGCTTATTCATCAACGTGTAAACTGCATAGTAAAGAGAAAAGATCGAATCGAATGGCGAAAAAAATGACGACGCACTTACGAGTGGAAGTACCATAATGAAATACGAATGGACTGGGGCGAAATATAAAATACCTATAACACACTAACTGCTTACTTTTACCAACTAACTACTGCTTACTGCTACTAATTACGCACCAACGACTGGACCGGCTTTCGCATGACGAAATGTTTCTTTTTTACTTATGCATAGAATGGCGGCATGCCGTCGAATTTACAGCCCACACCGCCGAAGAAGCCACCCCGTCGCAATCTGTCCGTGTCGCCGACGCACACACAGGCATCGACTCAGAGCGATGGCCAGCCAACGCCGATGAACTACGAGTACATGTTCATGGCGAGAACCGGCCGAGGCCACAACGCACCGCTCCTCGATCTCGAGGAGCTGCAGACGCGGCGCCAACAGCTGCGTCACGTGACGCGCAGCGTCGACCAGTACGTGGACATGAAGTCGAACTTTGGCCATCAGCGGAATCACAGTCAGGATAGCAAGAAGGCGGACAGCGACGTCGAGCCGGTTGCCATCACGGCGATCACGGATGGCAATCGTTCATTGAGGATAGCGAATCCGCGGAGAAAATTGCGCAGACACACGTACGGTCGTTCGAGCTACGAGAATCACTCGGTGCAGCAGCAGGATGCCAGCGACAAGTCGCCGTGCAACAGCGAGCCTGGTGCCCCTCGAGATCGTACCTACATCTCCAACGCCTTCATCGCGGTCAAATCGTCGCAGGAGAGCTTGGTCGACGAGTGCGAAAAAACCACTCCTCGTCCAAAGGAGCAACCGGCGACACCACAAAAACAGCAGCAGCAACAGCCACAAGAGGTTTGCACCGACAAACGCCTGAAACGAGTGCAGAATCTGCAGATACCTACCAGTCCGACGCATTATGCACAACCACCAACGCCCGATCATCCACCGCCATCGGCTATTCAAGCCGAAAAGTCCATCCACGACCGAATTCGTCCGCTGAGTGAGGTGAGTTTTCTTAGCTTTATTTTTAATATTATAAAATTCTTGAGGACTCAAAATTTATATAGGAAAATTAAAGCTCGAATGAGCAGAATTAAAAAGTACGAGAGCAATAGCAAGACAGGAGAATTTCGAACATACAGCGGAAAAAAGCTCGTTCATCGAGTTCGAGCTTTAAACCTATACATAATTAAAACTGGGGGCATCGAATTGCCCAGGAACTTGAGCATGAACGTTTTTATCCTAGCTGCATACCCGAAGAATGCCTAAGGAGAAGTCAGCATTGCTCCACGCGACACTTGGGTCGTCGAGGGGTAGGAAGTCGAGCACGCAGGGGGGAAGGGATGTATACTACTATACTATATATTCGTCTAAAGAGAGAGAGCTGGAACGCGTTTAATATACAAGTCCTGCACGGCGTTTGATCTCTGACGCGATTTACGAGGATGCGCGACTCAAGAGCAAGAGCTAGAGAGAGAGCGAGATACTCATCTGCGGTTAGCACTGGCTGTGGCTGGCGGTGCAGCAGTGTGCAGGCGTCGTTTGCGCGCGCGCCTAATCCTTGTGATCGCTCTGCTGTGAGACTGATTCAGTTCATACGAGATGCTCTCTCTCACTCACTCTCTCACTGTGTGTATGTGCGTGCGCCTGTATGCACGTGTATACGCCGAGTTGCAGTCAAGACGACGACGATGACGACGACTGCTACGTTGACGACGACACCACCCTCGTAGCCCCGAGCACATCCCTGTGTATATGGCACGGCTCTTTTCGCGACGTCTTGCTTATGTGTGTGTGCGAGTACGCGTGTGTACGTCTGAATACACGGAAAATGAAAGTACCTACGCTCTCTTTGCCACTGAGCCTCTCTCTCTCTCTCTCTCTCTCTCTCTCTCTCTCTCTCTCTCTCTCTCTCTCATTCTCTTTCTTGGTGCAGCCTGACACGCTGTTCACTCCTCACCCTTTTGGAAGTACTGCTGCGCGCACACGACGACGGCGTTTGACGATGCTGCTGCACACGCCTGACGAGGTCTTCTACACCTGAATGCCACAGCTCCTTATATTCGTATATGCACATGACTCGTGGCATTTTTCCCTGACTCTATCTTTCTTTCTCGCTCCGTCTCTTGCTCTTGCTATCTCTCCTTCTCTATCTCGTGTACACGAAGAAACCCATGCGTACCTTAATATCGCGTTCATCCTGTGAAGAGGCAGCAGCTTCTACACAGTCGTCATATATATATAGAGAGAGAACGACTTTGATGCTTTTGCTTCGGTCCCGTCTTATATACATGCATCTCAGATAGTAAGAGAGAGAGAGAGAGAAAGAGAGTCGTCGGGAGATCGTTGACGATTCGCTGCGATGGCTCCACGCCGAGTTTCGTGTGTGTGTGTGCAGTTCGTACAGAGCTCGACAAACACGCGGTCTCTTTCCTTACAAACGTACCGCGGGCGCGCGCGTAAACTGCATTCATTCGATCCCCCAAGACAGCTTTTAGACGCGCGCGTGCTCGCCTCCCTCGCTTTGTGTATAATTAAAAATGGCAAGCCCCGGAATCTTTCATTCGGAAAACATTCTTAGGCTTCGATACTAATATTTTCAGGCAAATGACTGCATTCATGCGTTCGTGCTCCATAGTACAGTTTTTGCTCATTTCTGCGTATTTTGGAACGTCTTATTTTTACTTGTCTCAGAATTTAACTCTGCGCCCAAACCCGTTCTGCTGCATTAATTATAACATGATTAAAGCACGAAACTCAAATGAATAATAATAAATCGCTTGAATATGCAATAAAACTATGTAGACAAATATACAACATTTAGATTTATATCGGTCCATCTGATACTAATATAGTCTAGTCACAAGCTTAATAAAATATGGGGAAAAAAAAATTACACGGAAGATGCCACGACTCAAATTGACAAGCTCGTTCGGAATGCTTCCTACAACCGACGAACTTTGAATAATGAAGCTTTAGCTGCGCTAACTCAATTCTCACTCGCGTTAGTTCAGCTATATCGAGAGAGGCTCGCGTTAACCGCTCGACGAAAGGCGCATTCCCCTTTAATTTTAAACCTTCGACGAGCTCTTTTGCGACTCATTTCTCGGCGTCATTGACTAAGCACACGAACGTATTATGAAAAGTCTCTCTTTCTCTCGCCGAGCTGTATGCGAAATTCACCTGTCTTGCTGCCGAGCTTACATCTCTCTATCAAGCTATCCGAGCCTTGGGAAGTAGCGAAGGAAATCTAATAAAGATTTGCAGCGCTAAGTGCCACCGCGCATTAAGAACTGTGTGTGTTTTTGCGAGGAATTGAATTTTCAGCAAACACGAAGTCTCGAGCCTGCGGTGTGTAATTTGCATGTTGACATTTTCTCTGGTGTTGCAGGTCTACAAGCGGCGCTCGCGCGACATGGAGACGGAGACGGAGGAAGAGCTGCTGGTTCAGTTCCCAGCCGCCAACGCCAACAACAGCACGAACAACGCCTCGCTCGACGCGTCGTCGGGCTCGCTCTCCTCGGTCTCGCTCTCCGACAAGAGCATGTCCACAGACAATGTCGAAGAGTACTTTGGCGACGTGCCCTTTGCAGGTAAACAGCAACAACAGCAACAACAACATACGCTTGGCTGCACCGCATGACGCTTTCTACTGTTGTCTCCGTGTACTGATTACATTTTTTTCCTCGTTTCGCATTTTCGTTGCCGCTGAATTATATACAAAAAAATACATTATACTTTTGCATACTTTTGAACTTTATTATAATATATGCATATAAGTCGGCCGAGTAAAGTTTCTGTTGCTGTAATGAGACGCCCGTCGCCGACACCGTCGTCGCTGCCCAACGACCACACACTCATTTGCATTTATGTTTTACTCTCATCATCCATAATTCATTGTTATTATTATTGTATATCATAATTTTACATTTATATAGGACATATTTATTATTTTTATATCTCGCTATTTATATTAATGACTGCACAAATACTTTAAAAATCGAAACTCCCTCCTTTTGACGTTGATTATTTGTAAAAATTTTAAATCTAATAAACAAATCTATTCTGATGATATTATATTAATAAGCTGAAGCTTAAAATCAGATGGTATCCAGACACTTCACGAAAACTCTAGCTTGTATTTGTTCTCCCGGAAAGACAATCACGGCGTAATATTTGAATTTCATTAGAATTATCGCTCACAGTTCGTTTGTAAATATCAAGTATTTGGTTAAACCGTCTGTTAGGGGTATAATAGCTTTAAAATCGACGCTGCAAACAACAATATGAAAGCGCTCGGCATCGAAATGAAATCGGGTATGCATATAACGCGCTTAATCGGCAAAGTGAATCGATCCATTTATTTCACAGGCTCTCGAGTACGAAATCCGAAAAGTTTGTGCTCTCGCTTCGCGTACGGAAGAACGTGCTAAGCAAGCAGAAAGCTCTTGATTCTCGACGCAGCGAGCGAGTGAGAAACGAAGGTGGAATACGGATCGAAAGCTCGGACTAGCGTGTGCACGCCGTGCCGCGCGCGAGGCTCACTTTGCATTTTCGAGAGACACACGCATGCGGAATGTTCGGAGAAGAGTCGACGCTCAACGATTCGCGCAAATGCGAGCACGTATAAAGATCCACTTCCATGGATGCGCTTGATACCATGTGTGCGGTTGATAGTGGCGCAGACATGCACCTCACCAGATCATCGCGTCGCGAATATTAAAAGCTGCCGGAGGAGTAACAATCCTAGTCGATCAATCAGTTGCATCGGTGCGGAGACTCGTTTCATTTATTTTTTTTTCTTTCTTATTTTCAACACGCGCTCAATCATATTCGAATCAACGCGTTTTGGTACACGCGCGCAATTTATTATGTAGCCCAGTATTTTACAGAAAATCATAGCATTAAGTTGTAGGAACTGAGGAAATTTTTATTCGCTGTTGCATTATTGTCTATTGTTATTTAATCAGATGTCTATATATTAATTAATTATGAAAATACCCTTTTTAAAAGAACATATCTTTTAATTCGCTGCAATCTGTGATTTTAAAATATATTTTTTCTTCGTTAATCGTGACAGTCCTATCTAGAAGGTTCTTTGGTACAAATGCGATAATATCAAATCAATCGATGAAACGTTGATTGAGAAAACAGGCGAAAATTCTGTTTTACGCATTGCAATAGATTTAAACAAATTTTTAATTCGCAAAATATGCATCCAAATATTAGATAGATGTACTCGCTAGCGTATCAGCAACATGTTACATTAACAAAAAAGTATATATACAGTAGAAGTTATAACACTAGTATTACCGTATTTTATATACGCTAAAAGTTAAAAAATTAAGTCTAGGTATTGCAGAAAAGTATTAAACGATACGTAACAAACATTGCGCATAGGTATGAATACTTTAAAAGTAGTTTACGACACTTAATTAGTAAATGACACATAGATTTAGTTCTTTACGTGATTAAAAGCGCAAAATACATCACAGTGTTTGGAACCGCTACATTAGATTAAAAATAGATTAGTTTTAACGTGGCAGCTAGCCAAAAGGGTATAATTATAAATTTTCATATAATGATAATTAATGCAGTCGCTAATAGAGGTAAAAAAATGTTTAGAGTATTTTTCATTGAAAACTAATTAAACAGTCATTTTTCAATTTTATTGAAAATTTTTAATTTGCAATCACAATTAAAAATTGATTTTTCAATAACTACTAATACTAGATGAAAAATTCTACTTAAAATTTAATACTTTTGTATTGAATCGAGAGAAAATTAAAATAATTTATGAAATTAGACATCTGATACTTTAATTGGAACTAATTCAACATTTTACCTTCATTGGCTGACATTTTTACACAAAATATAGTGCAATTTTGATAATTTCAAACAACAGGAAAATTTTTGCTTAATTATTACTTTTTTATCAATTTTACTATTACTGCACTTTACACTGTGAACCCATTGCTAATGGTTTTTGTTATTGTTACACACTTAAAATTATATTTTATCTATATGACACTTTGTATATTTTAATAATTATTATTAATTAAGATATTTTCTTAGCGTATACAATTTATATTTGTACACAAAAAAATTTTCATATACATGTCTTCATGTTTTAGCTAACGTTTAATTTGCCAATAAATATATTGCTAATGATAATAAGCATTGACTTCATTTATTTTTGCTTCTTTTTTTGTTCCTGTTACTCGATGTTTCGAGTTATGATTGATATATATGTGCAATATTTTTAGTTTTAGCATTAGAGTTTATTTTAAGTAGAATTGTAGTTCAAGAAAGCGAAAAATTCTAAAGGTCGTCTATAATTGTTGGCATTAGTTATCCAAATATGCAACTTGAGAATGGTAAGTAAATGTCATAATCATTTTAAAACATACAATTCATATACATTCATTTGGTGCAAGTGTTTGTTAAAAAATCTACAGCAACAAAAGATTACAACTTATATCGAATAAAACAAATTTATTCGTATGCTTATTAAAAAAAAATGTTAATGGTTACATTGAATGTGAAAAAAATTATCAAGAACAACTATTATCATTTGTTATTGGAAATCAGATTTCTAAAATATTCGAGTTTAAAGTAGTAGGTCGTGTAAACATCGTTAATATAGAAACTGTATCGATTGGCGACCAATACATTCACTTAACATGATTTCAAAACCTAAACACGTGTATTCAACACTTATTTATATTCTTCCTTTTTCCAACAAAATTTCAACTGAATTCCCATAAGGATAACAATTTTGAAAAAATCGTTCACTCTTGTATTAGACGGATTTGCACTTACAAACAATCAATACTGATCTGAATAGAAACTTTTTGGGTTGAAACTAATTTAACGGATCATTGTTTAGAAATAAACAAAAATAAAATATTGTCCAAGAGACATTGTTGTTTTGATGTTTTATCTTCACGTCTACCCAATAATATTCAAGGCCTGCTTTATTCATATAGACTTGTACAAGTATCGTATACTCACTGACATTGTGGCACATACGTGTGAAACAATCGCAAATCGGTGCGTTGTATTCGCTTGACCGATAGCTATGACATCACAGAGGAATGTTCGCAAACTCGCTGAATGTGACTCAGCGAGCGCTCGCCTCTCCGCACGCAGCGCGTATTCTGCTCTCGAGGCAAAAATTTCGCTTTCAGAGTTCCTTTGCTTTTTAAATGTCGATGAATGGCGAATAACCAGTTCTCGTTTATTATCGATAAAGCCGTGTCGAGTCCCACCTATCGTGTATTTATTGCTGGATTTATTGCTGGATAACTATTATATTTCGGAGTAATCTCTCAACGCGAACACAAAGACAATAATTATTCGTTTGTGACATATAAATGGCGACGATTCCACGTAACTTAAAATCTGAATACATTTCGAGCCTTGAAAAACTATCACTTTGCTCAAAAATAGGCTAATAGGTCGAATAAGAAAATGATATGATTCAGTGAGAGATAAATTATGAAAATCCTACAATTTGGTCTACCTCGTCTTCTAGAGTATAATTCAAAATCACAGTAAGAACTAACTCGAAAACTTGAAATCAATAGGTGTGTTGTTATTGTAAAGATATCGCATGATTATTCCTGATTACCTGGATAAAATTCGACGCTTAGAAAACAAACATAATCTATTTCTTCGAATTCGATTACGATTCCTTCAAACGAGGTATGAGATAATAAGTAGTTTTTGACTATGGAAATTCAGCTAGCACGCAGTTTACTTTGTGCCCAAGAAATCAAAGCTTTCCATAAATTTGTTTCCTTGTCAATTGATTTTTCTCGCTTCCATATCGTGCGTTATTTATGATCATTTCATAAATCATTAGGCTGAAATCTAAACGAGGTATTTATCGCGCGGAAAGCAGCGCATAATTGATATGCAATATAATGCATACATTGTTAAATTATAAAATTGATTCTATTATTCATTCAAATATTAATGAACGGCTTGTCACGGCTATTTGGCACATCATTAATATTACCAAGATAGCATTGTGAACCGTTTGAACGAACCTTATTTTTTTTAGCTAACGCAATGCAACCCATTGAGCCGAGTACGAGCTCACTGATAATCTTCGACTCGACTACTTTGATACTCATATAATCGCATAGCATTGCGGTATCGTCTTCTCAAAAACTATACTTGTGGGATTGGTTGACATCGAATACGATACAGCTATCAGATTGAAGAAGATATTTAGTCGAGTAATATACAATGGATGTTGATAAGTTCTTTTGTTGTCGACAAAGGCCTAAAAGCAACTTTTAGTCGAACGAAATATTGTTCGAGATGCTCTAGTGTTTACCAGAGAGTTTTGGTTTTACGCACCGGAAGTTCTAATTGTGATATAATTACGTAATTGCCGCCTGCATAAATCCTCAAATGGGTCAAGCGAGCAGTCACTTGGGCGAGTCTCGATATATAAATCGTTTCGCCTTTCCGTTGCGAATCTCTTCGATCGTGTAAACCAAAAAAGGCAGAGCAAACGAGCTTAGTGCTTGTCATTGGTGAAAACGCACGTGTGTCTCCGATGTGTATACATACAGAAACG